TTTTTTTTTTTTCTCTCCTAACTCCCCTTTGTTGCTGCAACTTCACCACACTGAGAACAAGGCCAGTTTTCCTTTCTTTTATCCTCTGCCAGCTGTCCCACGTCTACAACTGTTGCCCTCAGTATCTGTACGGTAGCTAAAGAGGCAGCAGAAATCCAAACCGCTTCCACTGAACGCGCCGCTCCGAGGGAGGGCACCCCAAGGAGCGGGCACTGCCGCGTGCTGCGGCGGGTTGCAGCTCCCTGGGGTGCCCACCCGGCACGAGAGGCCACGCAGGCAGCACCCACCCACCCTGTCACCCACACAAACACAGCCGAAGCTGCAAGGTCCACACCACGTCACCCGTGTCCACCAGCCCCGCGCTCCTGGGCCCCCTTCCAACAACAGCGCTTACCGCTTCCACTGCAAAGGCATGCACCAACGCCAGGAAATACAAACCAAACTAGCAAGAAGTCTTTTGCTCAATGACTTTGGGATACTGTGTTAGTATAAAAGAGCATTCAGTCATCTTAAATAAATATACTCTATTTCTGAAATCACAGCACATTCAAGGGGTAATTACTGCCATAATCAGAGCAGCACGTAATCTCCATAGATGTTTTTGATAGATTTGGTCTAATAATCCGGAAAATCATCTAACGCGGGGATAAGAATCTGCATCTCAAATGTTCTGCAGAACGTATTTTCCATATCCGTATACAGTACTAGAACAATTAAGAAGACATTACAGTAATTTTCTCCCAGCTGCTTAAGTCTGTAGCTTCAGCTACGATAATATACTCTGTATACCTCAAAACAATATGCGAAATATCAGAGATCACTAAATAAATAAAAGCCAAGAAAAACTGGGACAGTACTGCATCTTACACTTGAGACAAGATTCCCCGTTCCCATGGATAAGTCATAGAGGAGGACTACGATAATTGCTTTTTTTTTCTTTTTTTTTCTTTTTTTTTTTTAAGAAAGATTTATACACAGGTTCAGATCCAGAAAATAATGTGAAATGCATAAATATCGATAGCTTTAGCTAAGTTAAAATGGGTTCAGTAAAGTATGATACAACATATTCAGAATAAACAAAGCAGAAAAGCATCATATTTTGGTTTGCTTGAGATATACATAAGGTGCAACAATTTCTTCTCTAGAGGCATTTGTGGACATGTGTTAATGGGTAACAGTGTTTGCTGGTATACTGAAGTACACACGATAGCAATACGATTTTCCAAAATGAAAGCAGCTGAAATTAATAAAAATTAAAACAAAACAAAACAAACACGAGAGAGAGGAGAAAAAAAAAGAAAAAAACACAACCCCCAATACAGTAAAATATTGGTCTGAATTTTTTGTTGTGCTAACAGACTTTGTTACCTGAAAATACTGATACCCCTTCTAGTAGATTCAGGGAAAATTCTAGCTACTGAAATCAAGACATCACTCGGAGAATCAACGAAGGCAAATGCCTAGTGAACTATAAAGCTTTGCAGGATTTCTGCTACTCTCAGTGCCTAATCGCTTAAAAATTAAGCATATCTACAAAAGGGTTTATAAGTATCTGAAAACAGTCATATCCAGTAAACTGACCCAACCCTACCCCCTCTCTAAGGGAAAGTCAAGGAAAAGCAGATCAAGTAAGATATTAATTCATATAGAAAAAAGTAATTTTCTGTTTCTTTTAAAAAAGGTACCATTAATATACAGAAATATCTTCAGGAACAATATTGAAATTTAAATTGAGGAAGGATGGGGTGCTTTGACAAAAATATATCTACTCTAAGGGTTTCTAGAGAAATAAGTTAGTACCATTGTCAACGTGAACGGCCTGCACTGTAACATATTTGGATTTCAGCTAATTATAAAGTGGTCCAAAACTCCAACAGCCACCTTGCCGTGACCCTAGCGTTTTAAGTCCTAAGTTTTTCCTGTCTTGTTAAAGTAACTTATAAAACCTTAATAAAATCTTGTTAAAAATACTGCCATAGACGGCAGTGGCATTCCAGGGGGGCTCTTAGTCATGAATTTACTTGGGTTTTTAAACAGCCTTTTCACTGACTCATTGGCTCTTAACTTTTGTTGTTCTTTTGTTGCTGCTGTTCCCCTTCTTCCAACACAGGCATCTTTGATGGTGCTCTTTTAATGACGCTCCCTGCCTTTTGCGAGGTTGTTACAACTGTGTGGCATGTTGTGTGTCATTTCTCAACCAGGAACCAAAGACTTTCGCTTCGCTACAGCGATGAAAGGCAAAACCTAGCAAGCATTAATAGAGTTACTGTCCGTATGGCTATTACATCAAATTAGTTACAAAATAACCCCAAAACACTTTTATCATTTCAGTCAAGTATAAATAAGAATGCCTGATAGAACCATGTAAACTCTCATCATTTAAAGACTTAATTCAAAGAACTTCGAACTCAACCTAATACTATCAAAAGTTCAGCCAGTTTGACGAAGACTAATAGAAAATTATTGCTGGAGTCCAATTTGGTAAATTGTTGTGCTACAATGCAAAAAGTAGGGAAACATCTTGTGCTATAGAAGAAGTACCCTGTCGAATTTGTAGCTTTAGTTTAATTACTAGTGATCATTTTGCATCTGTCGGTAGGAATCAATGCTTGGTTATACAATAGTGTAAGTCAGGATAGTGAAGGCAGCTGGCCAAGTGATACACGTGGCCCGGCTTTTGGGATGTATCTATGAGCGCAAAACACAAAAATTCAACAGAAGCAGAGACAGAAACTGGCAGATGAATCTCTGAATTCAGTCACACGTTACTCTTCAGTCGTAGTTTATCTGCGTACAACTTCACCAACACAAACTGCAGTTGGCCCTTTATACAATCTATGAAGCCAATTTAGACTGTGCATAGTAACTACAACGATGCCAGTGCCTGTAAAATGTAAAAGGTATGTGTATCGGTGTAGATGTATATTGAAAAGTCACGTTTTTAGGTTTTTCAGAATGGTGAAATAATACTAAGGTCACTTCTGAACAACATATTTGCAGTACTTTTTGTTTACAGGAACATTTCACCAAGTCACTCAGGTATCTATGCAAAAATAAAGGAACCCTCCAAGGCATGAGAGACAAGTCAATCCTCTGTAGTACTTCTCTTTTCCATATACCACTCCTTTTTCTAATGCACATCATCCTGGTTACTCAAAACTAAATTAAACAAACAAACAAAACCCAAACATAGCCTGTCAGAATTTTTGCCAGTAAACGCTACCACTCCGGTGGCAAATATAAAAGTGCAGAACATCTGGACCACATGGCTGCCCAAACACCGCTAACAATGGTACATCTGTCCAGGCTGCCTTGAGTTCTCTGGAGCAGGTTTTAAATTCACTCTACAATATAAACGTAGGCATAACCTATTAATATAAACCATCTTAGAACTTAAATCTTCATGTACAAAAATGACTAAGAATATCTAATAATAACTAGTGCAGTGCGTCAGTGTTTTTGTTGTTGTTTTTTCTTTTCATTTAGAATAACTAGGTATTATACGAAACTAGTTGCCATACTCTCTGGTTGGTAAAAGAGATGCTGTGTGAGCTACAGTAAAAGGCAGCCTTTTCCACATCAACCACCCATTTACTGCTTAAAAGCCTTCCACAGAAAGCGAGCTCTGGGATCATTCCATTGCTGTTCATTAATAGACAAATAACATCACCCTCCTACACACTGGGTTCCGATTTGAGGACCTGGCCCAAGTTGTTAATGTCTGGCTTCCAGTGAAGTCTGGGCCACTCACAGCAATAAGCACTTGCTTGCAGTCTATAGTTTCCATCATATGGACTGACTAGCTTCCCTTGGTAAAGACAAGGCTAGGATATTAGGTAAAGCACAATGTTTTACAATAAAGTGGAGCTTCACTGGTCAGCGCAGGAGATCAGCACTGGAGCCTGAGACATTTCGTTTGGCTGTCCGTCGTGTGGGAGAGGAGGGGCCCTCTGGCTTCTGCAAGAGAAAAGGAGAAAAGCCACCCGTCATTATCCGTCCAAGGGCCGTCACACACCAGCAGGGAGGGCTGGAAAGCTGCAGCTGAGGTGGCTCCACGTCCTGCTGCAGAGCACGGCGGCCTCCCGCGGCCCGCGCCGCTCGCACGCTTCCACGGAGGCGTTCCTGCAACGGGAAGGAAACGTCCAGAGGACGACCTGCAGTGCAACCCCAGTGCAGCAAGCCCGAGTCAAGACGGTGTTTGAGCACATAAACTAAAATGCTTGACCAAAGGGTAAATTAAGAGCATGCATGTGGTGCTACTCATGTCGCAAGGGCTTCGGAGAGCGCCGCTCTGTGTGGTGGTGGCGGAAGGCGAGTGCGCAACGCGGGGTGAGCCACGTTAACGCCACCCCATAGCCAACCTGTAAGCAACATGGAAACACACCCGCCTGCAGAGCTGCAGGCTGCGACGACGCCAAGCTTCATGACTTAACACTGACCTCTCCCTCGTTACTGCAGCAGTGCTGGTTTGCACACGCCTGCCTGCACAGGCCATCATAGAAATAAACCACGCCAGGACTGCGGCTGGAAAGCAGCATCAATCATCAGCACACATGGCCCGGGGAGAACTCCCTTCCAGACGGCCTGGTAAAACACACTCCCAAGCCCATCACGGCCCCTGAACACGTCCCATGAGTCAGGCTCTGTTTCTGCTACGTGTTGTGTCACATACAGCAATGAAACACTGGGACCTACTGCTGACGCGCATTTCGCCTCACCCTGGCTGGGCTACGACCTCAACACAAACGGGGCTTGCACAACCAGAGTGCAACGAAGGGGCCTTGGTGCAAAACGCAGCTCAGGCTCGTGGTGCTGAACCAGGGCATGTGCCAGGCAAGCAAAGCCAGACAGAAACAGCCAAAGGAAAACCATGCTGTCACTGGAGCCAAGCTCTGATTACAGCAGAAAGGAGCTTGTCTTCCACGCCTCAAGGATCTGCAAAATTATTAAGTAATTAAATTCAAACACTGAAAAGAACACATTACACAAGCCTCTAATACTATCCTTCTGCTCACTCGCAGCTACTGTCAGAATAAAGAACTAAGCTGCAAGTGATAACAAAGAGTCAACACGGAGCAGAAATTAGAGGCATCTAGCCCATCAAATTGGGGTTTCTGTTCTGACTTCCGTCTGCCAAGTCTCCAGGAGACAGCTGGCTCAGTTTCCAATAGGAAGGAGTCCCCTCCCCCCGACTCCAGTCGCCCATGCGATGAGAAGCTGGAATTGGTTTGTATGAGTAGTTAAATTTTTGCCCACTTGGTGTTTTCAGGCCTCATGGAAGGTGCCTCATTGCTGCAACTATATGATGAGATGCTGAAAGTTGCAAGCAAGTAAGATGACAACAGCAAAAGGCTGTGTAAAACATTAGCCCAGGACACTCACTTTACCAGGGAGAAAAGAAGGATAAAGGACTCTCAGAGAAACAAACAGCGATAAAACACGACTGACTAAACCCTGTCTCTCCTGTGCAATTCTAGCCACAGTGTCAGTCGAAATCAGTGAAGCTGCCACGTTGTGAGGGAGAACAGAACTTGCACAGCACTTTGCCAGGTCTCCCTTTGCTGTCTTGGTAACAGACTGGTACTCTGCAAAGCTGGGAGGAAAGGCCACACTGACATCAGTGTGCAAACAAACATTTCTCGCCCAAAACACTGTTGCTTACACAAGACAACAGCTTCTGTGGAGAACAGCTGCCAGGCTGGGCCCATCTGAGCCCTGGGCCTGTAAAAATCTTGCAATTCTTCATGCACAGCCTGAATGCAGAGGCCGACTTGGTCTCACCCGTTTCCTCCCATCAGAGGAGTAGGCTGCAGGATCCGACTGTGCTGAACTGTCCCGACAGACCTGGTGCCCTGCACACCCTCTGTGCTGCCCGTGCAGACAGCCCGGCCCGCGGCGCAGGCCCCCAGCCCAAACCAACGTGACTTTCCCTCCCCTAGGACTGCGCTGCCCGGGAATGCTTGGTAGATGCTCTCGCTCCTATACAGTGAAGCACAAGAGCAAAGACACCAGTCTGCTCTGTTGTGCCATGCTTAGCAAAAAAAAAACAAAAAACCCAAAACCAAACAAACACACAAAACCCCCACACCTTGAGATCTGTTGAGATTTTATGAAAGCCACTCTGCAGTCTTAGGCTGCAGAGACAAGGAGCATGCAGTAGCTATTTAAACCTATCATCAGGCAAACGGTACCTGGTATTAGAAACCCCCAATCCTTTGGATCTCACCAAGCAGATCAATTTGTTTATAAACAAAACTTGCTAGGCAAGTTTTTCCAGGCACAATCATGCGAAGACTTAAATCTACTAAGCTCCTGGTATAAAATAAACATTCAAAGAAAGCTGTGGAAGAGAAAACCACAGAGGCCAAATGAAACCTTTTGCAATTCACATGCTTTTAACAAGATGGCAGTCGAACAGATTCTGTTTAGAGAGCAAGGGAAAAAAGCATACCTGTGTACATTTTCCATTGCTGCTACTTCTGCCAGAGCAGCTAAGCTAAAAAATGCAGACACTGCTGGCATATCTGGTGTAATACTATGAGTTTCTTCCGACTCTGCGTTTCTGGAGCACTCACTGTTGCAGTCTGTTTCTGCACTTGATGTTTTTTGAAGAGTACTTTGTGGCAGCTCTTTTGGCTTTTCCTCTGTAGCAAAAGAAAGCAAAGTTTGCAGGTAAATAGGATGATCGAGGCCTGCCCTTATGTTCTCAGCAATATACCCATACACCAATCACTGGTGTTAAAAAGAATTTTGTCTTTAGGACTTCTATTTTGTTTGTGTAATCCAGCTCATGCTGCAACCTCTCATGACCCAAGCTTATTGGCAGAAACACACCGAGCTGTAAGAATCAGTTGACTGAGTTTGATCTCAGGTCAGGCAAGAAAGTGTATTTTTTTTGTGTGCGTTTTAGATACAGAATAAGTCCTGCAAGATTATCTCAATCGCTGAAGACTCCTGCACAGCATGTAGCATTGACTTTCACATTACGAAGCGTATTTTTATGTCCTGTAACTAGGCAGGGTATAATTTATTTGCTAAGTTTTTCACAGAATCACCTCTGGAAACCATGTGGTCCAACTCCCTTCTCAGCAAGGTCAGCTAGAACAGGTTGCCCTGCACTGTGTCTGGTTGATTTTTGAGTATCCCCAGTGACAGGGACTCGACCACTTGGGTTCAACCACCCTCTCTATGCATAAATATTTTTTCCAGTCCCCTCTGCACCCAGCTCTCAGATCTTAGAGAGAAATCCAGCCAACTTTGACAGATTTGGACACTGAAACACTGAAACAAGAAGCCGACCATTTTGGACTAACCGATTTCCTAGTTGATTGACATCTGCATTTTACAAAATGATGTTTCTAAAGCAGGTCTGAAACCAAGCTGACTTAGAAGCACTTCCCTGATGGTTTGTTTATGCTCCAATACCATGCCCACCAACTCAGTTTTAACAACATTTACACTCCCATTTCCTTACCCAGTGTCCCTCCTGCTGGTGACACTCGACCATCGGCTGTTCGGACAAGATGGGTGATCTTGGTTTTCCTTGCTTTCCTCTTCTGGCTGCCAACTAAGGGTTCATGCATCATTGCTGGCTCTGAAGTGTTGAGGGCAGATATAGAAATTTTATTCTTCCAGGCAGGCTCACTGGAATTTCTGTATTCTGAGAGTATGGCTGAAAAAGGAAAAAATGGAGTTTTAAAGGTGGAATAACTCAGCTACTAGTTTTACTCATTTAACATTTTGCAACCATCCATGTAAAATACCAAGCTATCCCTCACAGCTACTCAGAGCTCAACCCACAGCAAGATATCAGCTGAATGCTGCAGGGCTTTGCAGGGGCAGAGGACCATCAGCTCCTGAAGATTTCCTAGGGGGTTCGAGTTCCTTGGATTTGCAAAGGAAATTATGAGAGAGGCAGTAGCATTTCAGCAGGGAGTGGGTTTCAACCAATCTGCATAAAACACTCTGCAACTGGAGATGCAAACCAGTGGCTGGGGAGCAAAACCCTGTTCAGGAACAGTGATGGTTGCAGTCTTCACATAAGTGTATTTTAGGTCATAGACAGACTCATAAGTAGAATTCAGAAATTCCTGACTAATCCCAGTCTCCTCTCTATGCTGTGTCTGCTAAACAGACAGAAATGCTGCCTTTTATGAAAAAAAAAAAAAGAATCTTGGAGGAAAAAAAAAGATCAAAAAGGCAGGAAATATAAAGCAGAGCTAGATCACAGCTGAAGACAAGAAAGTTAAAAAAAGAAAGCAAGCACAGAATAAAATACTGTGACATAAATACAGCCTACATGAAGTCTGAAAGTGGGAAAGGAACAGTTTGAATCTTCTTAAACAGTACCAGTGTTGGCGTCTCCAAGCAGCTTTCCACCCCAAACTGGAACACAACCACAGATTTGCACCTGACTAGACAGTGACTTAACTTGTGTTCATGAGGAAATTGGTCATACAGGAATCACAAAATGTATTTAGGTCTTCAAAGCCTGAAATCAGCGTATGGTTATTAGCTGTGTGTAATTCTCATTGCTTCAGTGAGCGACACTGCTGATACCACACGGTATCATTTGCCCCCAAATTCTGACTCTAGGACACTTTTTTCCTTCTGCGATAAAGCGTTATGAGGTCCCTCTCAGCTACAATTATAGCAAGATAGGGTTAGAAAGAAACCACTGGTGTCACAACGGGATTTCCACCCAGCTGGACCTTCCTCAGAACCACAACAAGAGAGAGGCAGTTGTTAGTTACAAGCAGTCATAAGCCCCTCTCCCTGTAGGATGTGCCCAAGCCATTGCTTGTCTGACCTCTTTCAAAATTGGAAGCACTGATGATATCTTCATCAAGTCGCTAGGTCATTTTTTCCCAGTGCGCCGCCATCCTGAGCTACTACGGCACTTTTCCTAATACCTTATCCTGCATTTTCAACTCCTTACTCCCTTCCTACCTGTCAGTTATACCTTGTGCCTGTTTGCAATGGCCTTTTATATCCTTGACAGCTGTTACCGAGTCTATCTTTAGCCTTCTCTTCCCCACAAATTCTTTCAGTCCTTCTTGTTTCCAAGAGACGTCTAAGACCCATTTCTTCAGCGACTTTGTGGGAGGTAGGACAAGCAAAAATTACATGCATAAAGCTCAAGCTGGAGTGTGAACAACTGTTCTTTCAGAAGGGTTAAGCACTGAACGAGAGCAACCTCCTACACCCAGACGCAGGAACACCAACACCCTCAAACTGGGCAGAAGCAGCCAAGCAGTCCCTTCTTCATTTTATTACCTATTTTTATTATATCTTTGCGTAATATACATATATTTATTTTTAGAACATATTTACTGCTTGTTTGTAGATTTAACAAACTTCCTGTTCAAAGATACGGCTCATATAAACTCTATCTTCTGCTGGCTTCCTTACCTGAAACTATGCAAGCATGAAGACCGGGAGAAAAGCTCCAGTTTTTATCCTGTTAACTTTTGGCCCCTGCTCTTTTGTTTTAAGTGGGAGGGGAATCTTGTTTTTCTTTTAAAGATTTACAGCATAAGTATATGATTAGATCTAGTACGTATGTGTAAAGCCACTTGGAAATGCTTCAAAATTTAATTCATCTATGCTCTTAATTTATCTTCCTATTTTTTCTCTCATAAAAACGTTTTTGGACTGGTGCATGGTTAATTTTGAAAAAAGCATACAGCTTTAATTAGCTTATCTCACACTTTAGCCAAAGATGCTAACCTTTGCAGAGCACAGCTATGCTGTAAAGCTTATTTTTGTACAGAGGATCACAAGAAAAAACTGCCTGGTAACAGTCCAATTAAGGAGAAGTGCCAGTGACTGTAAATGTGGCTTTCAAACAACTTGGCAATTTGGCTAAGAGTGAGATGTTCAGATAAGCCTACTGCACTGACTGAGAGAAAAGTCTTAATGGGAATGCAAAATTAAACAAGCAGCTTTCTCTTCTAGATTTCCTGTTTGAGGATTTATAAGCACTGACTATGTATTAATGTAATGGTTTGGTTCTAATCCAACAGTATTTGCTAATTCTGGTTTGGAGATTTGCTCCAATTAGATTCTACTTTGACAGTGCTGTTTAATTCTAGTTTGATTGAATTTATAATGACTTTAACCTTAGTAATATAATTCTTTTTTTTTTTTTTAAAAAAAAAGATGTAATGAAAGTATTGAAGCATGGCCAGTCAAATTTCCAACAACATACAACATGTGACAGCAAAATCTGATTTAGTGGACTTTTAATAAAATGTGTCATATATTACAAGCTATGGCAGATCACTGGAAATTAACTTGATCAGTCAATATACTAAGGACACCGGAGAGGTCCTTTTGTAACTGATCTTCTCTTTCTCACACTATAGATGCTTAAAAGCCCAAGAAACTATAAACAAAGCTAAAAGAAACACAAAGGGTAAAATAGAGGCGATAATTATAAAAAAAAGAAAAGGGAAGGAAATATGGTAATGTCTTTGCAACAAATTAGGTTGCAACAGATATGGTTGAACACCATATTTAGGTGTTCAACTAAGAGACAGTAGTGGGTGGCTGACAAACTCAGGATACACTCGTGAAAGTCCTCTCCTTATTTTAAGGTTTCTCGAGCCCTGTAATGAGACCTGAGAGAGTTTGTTCTCTGCTTTAGCTCCAGAGAAAGCTCCTTCTCATCTCCCCATTGCACACGCAGCCCTGAAGGAGGATGGAGGGAGAGACGGGGAGGGCACCCAGGGTCTGCGGGGTGCTCAGAGGCAGAGGCGCTTTCCTTAGAAGGGTTTGGTCTTCCTCAGTCCCACATCTCCTCGTTATTCTAGCAGTCCTAGGGGAAGCCAGGATGAGAAAACTTTCTTCCCTGGATTGTTCTTTAATGATGTATCTGCACCTCTCTCTATATTTTAATCCATTTCACATCCCTTCTGTTTCCACACCACCCTGTGGGGAAGAGCTCTACAGAGCTCAGCTAGTTTTCAGACTGCTGTCTGGAAATGAAATGAGATTCTCAGGCCTGTAAACACTTATGTACTTATCTTTCCACAAGAGAAGTTTTGAACTGATTAAAAAAAAAAAACAATGAAAAGAGAAAAAAAGGAGGATTTAAAAAACCTGACTCACTGCTCTGCTATTTCTCATTTCTATCAATTACGAGCATTTGTTTAAAGCTTGCAGCTGGAGATAGGACTTGATCGCTAACCCTGATTTTCAGGCTGCAGTGTACAGTGCATACAACTAAGGGAGAAAGAGCCAAGCAAGCTGGAGGGAAGAAAAGCACTAGGAAGCTCTCTCTTTGCTAGAGACATGTTGATCACCATTTTTATAACATTAATCATAAAAGCCTTGAAATAACAAGGTCCTTCCTTCCTTCCTCGTGAAAATCTTTCCCTTTCAGTCCCAAAATATAGAGAGAAAAGCAGATTTTTAAATGGCAGAAGCAATAAATCCCAAGTTATCTTCACTGTTTTATGTGCCAGGTTTGTCTGCACTAAATGGTGAAGATCAGCACCCTAAAGCTGGGTTCATATTACTGGGAACGGGCACTCTGACCTGCTCCTCTTATGACGCTGGGAGCCAGGACGATGCTGCGTTCCCGGCTCTCCGCAGGGCGCCAGGGCCAGAGCCGCGCTCCCGCTGCGGCTGCCGGCCTCGCTCGGCACTAAGCAGCCTTCCCCTGCCTTTGCAAACACGAGAAATGAAATCCGTGACACCACCCTACGCACTGTGGAAGGGGATGCGCTTCCTGGAACCTCAGCAAGACACAAGGCATTTACAACTCTGTCTTTGGGAAGGCATATTGGTTACTAGAAGGCTGCAGGTGTTGAACCGTGTCTAGTGGAGAGCAAGCTCTGCCCAGGTCTAGCCCTGGGCCTCAAGAAGGAGAGGTGGCCTGCAATGGTCTCATGGTTTTTCTTGGGGTTAAAAAGGTTTCATGAAGTTAAGAAGCCTAACAAGGCAGAAAAGCAGAACTTCAAACATCTGGGGAAATCCCAGTTCGTCAGAGAGCACCTCGAGTTGGAGCAAAAATGGGGAGCACCAATAAACCAAGTGACACCAATAGATAGGAAAGCAGATGCTGAAACCAGGTGGGCAGAGGATCACAGCCCTGAATGCGTCCGTGTCCTTGCGGGCACCACCTGCGGAGCATGTGCAGCCTTGGCCCTGGTGCTGACACGGGCACCCTGGGGACGGAGCCCCATCTCCCTCTGGGCTTTCCTAGCGGGACTGGTGAAACTCTGCAGGCAAAAACGCCGGCGCTGATGGGCTCCGTGACGCTTAGCTCAGCACCGCCTAAGGAGGTGACGTGTCTCTGCTTTCGGTGCTGGTGCCACAGGCTCTCTGCTGCGGGAGCCGCGCTTGTGGCACGTCCATCATCATCTGGCTGGGATATATTTCTGTAAGTATTTGCAAACTCACGATCCCGTAACTGGTGCTGGTGATGCTGCGTGTGATGCAGGAGCAAAAAACCCAGATTCATGCAGATACTCAGCACAGAGAGGGCTGTAGAGAACATGATCCAGCCATGGCATAATTTGCCTTTCCTGCACCAACCTGTCTTCAGGGCAGAAGTTTTTACTCAAAACGCACACACAAACATACACTTCCCCAGCTGACAAAACATGAACCAAGCATGACCCTGCTCACAGCCCCCCAAGCATCTCCTGCTCAGCTACCAGAATATCCAACTCCCTCCCTCCTGCAGCTAAATTAATTGCTTAAAATACAAAACTGCACAGACAGATCTGTGACTCACCACAAGAACAGGGCAAGCACAGAAAGGGGCAGACGTTTCCCCTTCAGGATTTGAATCAGTAAAAGCTTCCATGTTTGTCCTGAAGTGCAGATGCCAGAATTCCCAGCCCAAGTGCTATGGCACACACGGGATGCGGAATGTCCCTGGAGGGCCTCTCTGCCTGGCTTTGCCTTTACCATGAAGCCGCAGCACCCCTGGAAGGGGAGGCAGCCAAGGCCGTACCCACATAGCCCTTGCCGCCAAAGGCCCCACTTCTACCATCACCATGTGGTACATTAGGTCAGACAGCACCCTGGCTCTTTACCTATTTCAGTCCCAGGATGGGTTTATTAAGCATCAGAAATTGTGGTTCTCCACCAGTGTACAGACTCACTGCCTCCCCTTTGAAGATTTCTAAGTGGGCTTTGTAAGACTGGTAAGCGCGGGTTTCTCTGGGGTTTGCTTCAGGTTTGGCAGGTAGCAAACTGGCCCGACTCCAGCAAAATGCACAGGCATTTCCTTCATGTTTAGATATAGTGACATAACTCACGTGCTTAGTGAGTAGGGACATGCCTCTGTTGTGCTGGAATGAGGTCAGGGTGCTCAGCACTTGCCAGGCTTGAATCCTTGATCACACGGCACACTTTATATCAAAAGAGGATGATTTCTTTTACCAGAGTTCTCTACATTTTGTTCAGCTTCATTGCTGCAACACGTTAAGATATTTAATTTTTTACTCAACCATGTATTAAATGCTGTTTCACTTCCCATATGAGAATTTTAACATTTTTTTTTAATAATTTCTCTCTACTGATTTTTAATAATTCAGGCACAATAATTTGAGTGGCATGCAACAGGACCCATGTTAATGCACAATGCCTTTTTCACACTCAGCTTGGAATCCAGACAGTTACTTCATGAGCAACTCCCACCATTTGTTGTACGAATGCAAGGAAACAGCGTCAGTCCTTTGAGACCGTTTGTACTGAGTTATACTGGATGCAGCAGAGCTGGCAGAGCCTCCATGATAGCAGTGCAAGTAGACCACAGAAGATACAAAAACAGCATCAGAGGGAAAAGGAGAAGAGGTGACATGGCCAAGCCTTAGGCAGAGGGATTAAGCAGAAAGATAGCTGGGGGTATTGAAGAAAGGGACTGTCATTTTATCATCTTAGAAAGATACTGACATCGATGGGAAAAAAAGAAAAGGAACAAAGTCTCCTCTACACCACAGGGATGACGTGGGAGTCATCCTCTGCTGTGCAAGGGCAAAAATCCCAGCATGGGCCTGATTTGGGCATGATGGCCAGCAGGTAAGATTGTAACGGAAAAGGCTCTGGGCTAGAGGCTGAGCTATGGCCCTGCACATATTGAACCCTGGAAAACTGCCCAGGGAGGTGGCGTGTGAGAATAAAGGCCTAGAATACTAGATCAAGACGGCTTTGTAGGGCTGCTGGCAGCAGGGTGGAGGGCACTTAAGCACTGCAGAAGCTCTCTCCAATCTGCCGCAAGCAGACAGAGCTAGGGAGGATTCCTACAACTGCCTCTGTGGAAAACGGAGGTTTGGGTTGGTGTAGGGACAGCAGGACTCTCCGAGTTGTAGTACAGAAAGACTGTAGTTCAGTCTGTCTGTCTGCAGACTCTGGAGTTTCAGACAGAGTTTCAGCCTATAGAAGGGGCTTCTCCGGCAGAGAGGCCACCCGAATGAGGATATTTATCCACGCGATCCTGTGCCACGTGCTCTAGGTGACCCTGCGTGTGCAGTGAGGTTGGACTAGAAGATCTCTAAAGGTCCCTTCCAACCTTAATGATTCTATACTCTATGTCTTGGCATGGGAATAAATAATGTGGCCTCTGATATAGAAAGGACAGAGACAGCAGCAGCAAAAAGACTCCAGGGCTAGGAGCTAAAAGAAGATAAAAAGGGCTCAGGGCTAATTCCAGAACTTCCCTTGTGTCCTCAGCTCTGCTGCCAGGAGTTTGGAGTGTAATTAAAGGAGGTATCAATTAACATCAAAGCAGCATCATATTGTAATAAAATAATATGATCAGTCAGACCCAGGAGCTGATGAAACCAAAGCAGACAGGAAAGTAAGGGACCAAAGCACCAAAGTCTAGAGAGCTGAGCAGCCTCCATCCAGAAGCATTACCCAAGACTGAATTCAGAGGGAAGGTGGCCCAAAACCTTAACTGAGTAATGCACCAGTACCTGTGTCCGGAACATTAAGCTTCTCCTTTTTGTGCTTATATTTGCTGACAATTTTGTGGAATAAGTTCTTTTGCTGAGACTGGAATGAACCTACAGACAATATTAATAATACAAACTTTCAATTAGCAGTCTTTAGAAGCACACAACAGTCAGTACGTAGCATACATAGCCTCCCCTTCCATTAGTACAGCATGCCATTTCACGAAGTACAAAACCTGACCTAACCCCCCACGACAGCCCCTGGAGGCCCTCCTGTGACTGCAGTCAGCTGTACTTGAACCCATCAGCTCCCCGTGCTTAAGGCCACCCAAGGCATTTTGGAGAATGCTGACTGTCGGAAATATTAACCTACCAGAAAACAGGGGTCTTGTTTGTTTCTTTGTTTTTTAAGCTCTAAAGACACACTCCTTTTTGGAGATGAAAGTTAGGTTTGCCCTGCTTGGTGTCCAGAAATAAATTTATACTAAGTGCAGAGGTGAAAGGGGTTTCTTATTTATACTAGTATACACTTATTTATATACTTATACTAATATACACTTATTTGGACTAAATGAGGGGCAGGTGATGTTGTATTTATGGTATCATCCCTACTTTGGGATTTACCAGTCTTTACCAGTAGTTGCCAGAAGACATCTCAAATGTCAGCAGATCACAAAACAGGCCTGTAGCACTGGCAATCTTTTGACCTCTTAGTGGAGTAAATGGCAATACAAAAGCAGTAAAGACTTAACAGACCAAAGAAATAGAAGGTGCGTGATCTCTACACTGTAAAGCTATTCTTATGGAGCTGCTTTTCAGAAGCAGACTGCACTTGAAATGCTTCTTTCCAAAAATACATCAGCAAACAGGACTTCAGGACTTCACCAGAAATGAGATGGGCTGCAGATGCTGTGATGCCTTGTAGCCTAACAAGAAGGAAGGGAAGACACTTCCCTGTCTTGGAAGTGGATTCTGCCCACCGAAAGTCCTGTCCAAATACTGACCACCCTCTTATCCTCAAAAGGGCCCAGACAAACATTCTGGCTGCTGAGGCGTGACCGTAACAAGGTGGGAACCCAAGATGCGGGTAAGTCTACACCACTCTTCCATCACTGACCAGCCCTGCACGGGGGCAGGACCCAAGGGCAAGGATGGATGTATACCGCGCAGGCAAGAAACGCGACCGATGGCAGCAGGAACCTCCTCCTGTAATACTGAGTCTGCTTCAAGGCAGCAGCTCAGAGAAGCAGCAGGCAAGAAGATGATCAGGGTCTGCATCATAACTGCATCTGGGGAAAATGTTCCCTCTCCCCCTCAAAGCTATTTTTCAAAGGCCAGGCCAGACTGCATTCCAGCACCACAACAAAACCCCCATGCGGCCCCCGGAAAGCCGCAGTGCTGATTTTACAAGGGGTGACATAGTCCCTCTGGATGGAGCGGGGAAGCTCGCGTATTCCCTACCCAGAGTTCAGCCCCTTGGGGCGGCAGAGTAGCCTCCTGCCCCAAAATCCACGGCCGGGCTGCTGCGGCGGCTCCCGGCAGAGCTGGGGTTTGGCAAGCGTTTGTCTGCGCATTCCGCAGTCTCTCCGGAGGAAGATGCAGCATTTTTGGGTCACGAGCTTTGAAACGTTACGGTATGTGATCCCTAGACAGGCTTACTGCTCAAAAAAACCCACTGTCACAAAAAAGCTTCAGCTTTAAGGTCATGCTCCGCTCCTAGCCCTGGCGGCCACAGAGAGGAGGGCGGGCAGCGCCCGGCGCCCTTCGCTCCCCTCACGAGGGCAGCGGCCCGGCCCAGCCGGCCTGCGCAGGCCTTGGCAGCACGAAACAGAAATAACGACGCGCCCGCCGCTCTCCCCTGCATCTGAGCAAATCGGTGACTCACTGCAGGCTGCCGACTTCTGCGTGGTGGGATATTTTGGCAAAGGCGCCATTGGAAAGAAGGGAAAAATGTAAAAGCCAGTCGCAGCTCCAGCAAATGCTGGCGCAGGCCATCCGCATAGACCCAGGAGGGCCGTGTTTTTCAGCCGTTTTGCTGTGTTATTATGCGATACGCAGGGACTCTGTGAAAAATGCTCGTGGAGGAGACTGCTACAGGCTCGTCCAGTTTTGATCCCACCGAAGAAAAAATCCCACTGATGCCACTGGGAGCAGAACTAGGGCAAACTGGAATACTTTTTGGGAAAAAAAAAAATACTTCTCTCTCACTTGAAAAAGTCCAAATATCCCCTACACAGAAGCTCAGCTTTCATGCTACAGGGTTCTTCAGGTGTTTTTATGTTAAAAGAATTGACAGCACAGGGGTCTGAGCATGACAAGACCAATAGAGCAAAGATGCAGTGAACACAAATCCACTGATTTTACAACTGAGGAGTTGGAAAATACCCTGATAAGCTTGTCTGCTTGGATTAGTTAGAACATCGGGCCATCTTTTTACGTAGCCTCTGGTAGCTATAGCTTAATGAAATTTGACAGAAAAGTATCTGGCACCCTTCAAACCCTAACAAAATAATACATGACAAGCGAGATAAGTTTTTTTTTGTAAAAACATAGTTACCAAAAAAACCCCCCAAAAAATCAAAAAAACCCACACCTTCAAAACATTTTTCTATTTTTATTCACCTAGCATCTCAGGGAAGCATTAGTGTGTGGCACTAGAACCAGTTTTCCAAACTCTAAGGACAATGCACTTATCTGAAGAGTGCAGAAAGCTCGCAATCACCTGAGGACTGACATGCACGGGAAGTTTATGACCCTGCACGTTTGTTCAAGAAAAACAGGGCTTCATTTCAAATGGTGTTTAGCAGGTCTTATGATCATTACTGATTGGAAAATCAGTGCATCTAGAAGCCCCAGCTACAGAAGTCCCCTTCTGTGTCGGGTGCCTCAGCATCACAGCCCCTCTTCTCATGAACAAACACATGGAATGGCCCAGGAAAGAGCCAAGCGGCACAGGGAGCTGCGCACAACAGCGCAAGGCACAGCACGTCACGCTGACCTGGAGCTCTCCCAGAGCCCAGCTCTGAGCCATACCCATGAGACTACATTGCCCCTTCATGCTCATCGCGCGCTGCAAGGAAAATAACGTCGCTTCGGATTTTTGCTCAACTCTAATGATGTTAAAAACAAAACAAACAAGCAAAAAAACCTGACAATCCAAAAAACTTGGAACCACCCCAAACCAACTGCTCTAATTCTTCACAATATGCCTGCTTGCCATGTTTCATTTCCATGCAGCACTCACAGAAATCCAGTCTGCACACGCATGCGCAGCACCTTTTGAGGCTGGTACCCCCTAGGCGTCTTTGGTCACGTCACAGGCCAAGCCAACAGCACGTCTACACGGAATAACCTGTCAGAACCCCACAAATTAATTTAGAAATCCAGCCTAATGAGTGTTTGGCTTGGCTGGAAGAGCTTCCCTATTAAGCTAGCAAGTGTGCTTAGCTTGGGTTGGCTGAGGTAACTTCAGTTCCACAATTCGCATACTAATTTTAGGTATCTTAACAAATGCGGTGTAAAACAAATCAAAAATCAACCTACTGCCATGGAATGTTTGTATTTTTAGAAATCATTTTTTTCTAAAAGAAAAATGCTTTGTCGGAACGCCTTTCGTTTATCCCTGGAGAGCTGAAGCTGGCCCCCCGGGGAGCGGGGATGACTGAAGCGAGCTGACAGCTTGCCTCGCTAGCTTCACTGAATTCAGCAGCTAGGGAAACGAGGAACAGATATCACTGTCTCAGGCTGGACGCAGTGCAGGCCTGTGGTTAGATGTTCGCTGCAGAAACCTCAGTGTCACTATCAGATATTCCTGCCCTGGGGCTGCTTATTGCAACCTACAGCTCAGTTGGTGGAAAAGTTCATGTGACTCTTCCCCATCTGCTCCCGCGCAAAGTCAGTGGCCTTAGTTTAAAGGGCCCTTCTGACAGCTAGAGGCGAACGCTCTGCGGCCTCCTCTACCGGGCTGTGCCAAACCTGCTTATATCAGGGGTGCAGCGTGCCTGCAGCTACGCTTCTGAGGCATGGCTGGAAACGCTCCAAAGCCTTTCAGAAGTGATGAGAACAAGGGCAAAAATCGAGCCCTTCCTTGCGAACCCAGCCAAAAGCAGAACTCGGCTCGAGGCTATCTGACCTCAGGTAGTATTAGACCACGTGATACCCAAGCAACTGAACACTTCACAAAATGACCTGCAGTGTTCTTGGACACACAGACACTTGAGAAGGAACTAGAGAAGTTAGGAACTCGGGAAGCTGCTGTGACATCTTCAATTGCAATTTCATGTTAGATGAGTAAATGTTGCTCCCAACAGATGCTGCTAAATAAACCACTGTAAAATAATTCACTCATTTTGATTAAAGAATTCCTCTTGAGTTTATACCATAAAAAGTGAAAAGACTGTAAAATCAAGATTCGGTACTAACAAAAGTCCAACTTGACAAGAATCTGACTGTTCCACACATCTGATTACATAAACACAAAAATCAATACCAAAATTAGCATGCACTAGAATGGAACAGATGCTCAGTCCCGCACACTGCAATGTGACTATCTGTGAAGCATTCAGAAGGCTTGGATTTAATCTAGGGGCACCTGGCTAAACACATATACTAGATCTGAAAACTAACCAACCAGTCAGCAATTCTACTGCCCTGGCAGAAAAACAAACCCGTTTCACATCATGAGAAGTCTTGAGCAGAGACTGCAGAGCTACTGCTAAGTCACTCCTTCATTCTGTTGTGCTTCTGTACTGTATTTATGCATCGATATTAGCGTCACAGTCTCAAGAGACCCTACCACATTCTCATTTACAGCTCTGCCTCGGGCTGGTTCTATATAAAACAGCAAAATGTGAATGAGTTTTCCTTCTAAAAGCCTCATTAATGGACCTAGGCATTCAATAGGTTCACATTAATGATATTTATGATCCAGAGGATTTTTCCCTGAGTTTAGGTTGAGTATTTAAAAACCTGAGAACAAAAAAAATCAACATTTCATTCAGATACCTCTGATATCTTCTGTTTTATATTAGAGACTAAAACTACATCTGAAAGCAAAGACATGCCTTGAAAAATTTCAAGATGTAACTTTTTGATCATTTGCATGTTTTTTCCAATTTTTCCTCTAGGAAAACTTGTCAAATTCACTTACCTCACAAATGTTCCTGTTTTTGATAAATTTACTTATGAGGAAACCATCTCATTTAAAATTCTAACCTCTTCTACTTAGCATGAAAATCAGAAAGAAACAAGAGTACAGACTGAAAACTTCAGCATAAATAACCTCAGTAAGAATCAAATAACTTCAGTGCTAGAAAAATGTCTTCTTTGACTCCACACTTCTCACATACAGAAAAATAAGATAAAAAAGTACAGATTTCGAGCTTGGCATAGTTTTGTTATCCTTTATAAATGTACGCATACATTTATTGTATACTTTAGGTATTATGGCATACTTTACCTTTGTTGGATTTTGGTTGTTCAGATGAGCCGCTTCCAACCTTTCTCTTTTTCCTCGGAACAGATGAACTTTTCCGGTCAAAAGTTATAGGACTGTATTGAGGGAGGCTGTTGAATTTCTTTTCAAATTCTTCTTCTAGCTTTGCTAAGCTAAAAGGGGGGAAAAATTAATCAAATTACAAATTTTCTCCAGAACTGAAGATAGAGCTGAAGTTGTAGTGTACCTACAAACAAATATATATGTGTTGAGCAAGAGTGAGATGGAGAGGGAGACACACACCCACCCACACAATGTAAGCACCAAACAAATATGTATTATTCCACCTTTGGAATGAGAATGCGCACACTGCAGTTTCTGCATTTGTGACTCAGTACAAATTCATTATATTATTTGTATACATTAAAATAAAAGAGAGCAATGTCATGCTAGTGCCATTTAGCTATGGTTGCTCTACATACAGCAGACTCTTCCATTCTACAAGGGAGGGACAGGAGGCGAAAAAAAGTCAAAAAGGTCAAAAGTCAAAAAGAAAAAAAAAAAGAAACTAATATCCCAAAAGTAGCAACAGTATCAGTGATGCTGAATTATGAGGAGCATTGTTTCTGAAATCAACAACATAAACAGCTAAATGAACAAATAAAATTATTTCATACAAAAAGCTATCAAAAGTCAAAGAAAATAGCATTTTAAACCAGAACAAAAATGTCAAATGATTCAACCCACATATATCTTAAAAAAAAACCAAAAACCAAAAAACAAAAAAACAATCCATCCATAACCCCAAAGTACACATTTGTTTGGTGGCACGGTACTGCCTCCTCTCACATTTTAAATTTGTGAGGAGAGGAAAAATACACATGGCTGCTCCTGCTTCCAGGAAAGGTGGTGTCGCTCACCCTTGAGCCTAGCGTGAAGGCCCGTGAAGAGCGTTACCTGCTACCGGGCAGCTCCACAGAGCTGGGGCTCTTGATGATGACAGAGGACAACGACACACGTCAACCCTGGCGCGTCCTTCTGGCTGCCTGACTATGACCCCTCGCACCAGCACCGCTCCTGAGCGGATTTCGGCAGCTAGGCAGGAACGTGGGGAGCAGCTGTGTTTCCACACAAGGCAATTTGCACAGCGAGGCTGTTGAGCGGGCAGGTCGTACAGGGAGCCGTCGATGGCAGGAGAGCAACGGGTTTTGCTGCTCATCTCTGATCCTGTTTGCTACAGGGAGCCACGTGCTCCACACGTGCCCAGGACGCCCGTGAAACACCTGCCTGCAACAGCAGTGAGCACAGGAGGAGCCTCCCATGGCACAAGGGAGCATGTGGGGTGGCCGGGGAGCGAGCAGGAAAGGATCGGAGGGGAGAGCAGGAATAAACCCAGCTCCTCCGTGCGACGCAAGACACGGCAGTGCAGCGAAGGGCGATAATGGACACCTTCCCCAGCACTTGCACTCCACAAATTCCTGCTTCTGCTTTTACAAAGTTCACTGAACAATGTTCATTAATGACGTGACTGATTCAGGAAGCAAAACGCTCAAGTATGTATTTTCCCCATCCGGGCAGGCATTGATGGTAGAACAATATTTGTCAAATGAATTAATTATTTACATAATTTTCCCAGCAACTTTGAATAAATAATTTGCTACATTTTTTCTAGTTAGAAATGCATTTGCAGTTTTCATGATAAGAGTTTTGAATTTATATTGAAAAATACTGAAAAAGTCATTTACATATTTGATGGCACACAATGCCACAAGACACATACAAAACATACTTACAATGTACCAAAAATAAAAGAAGCATGCCATTAGTTTTTCTTGACTATTCCAAGAAAAAGAACATTTGGAAGTTTTCTGCAGCTTAGCACATTTGGTGTAAAGTGACTTGTAGCAACATTTCAGATACACCAAGAATTTCTTCCTCAGAATTCAGACAACCGGAAGTTTCCAAGAATTTGAATGACTGAGTGGATTTAACAACTATGCCTGAAGGTAAATAAATCTGCTAGCATGCTGATAAAAAAAAATCATATTTTACAAAGTAATTATGTGTAGCTACACATAATTCAATGCATTTGTAATCATTAATTATTCTTCTGATATATTTAGCATCTTTACACTGGATACAAACAATTTAACTATCTTGTCTCTACAATGGAAAAATCTATGCATTTATCCTAATCATTTAGCGATGTTAGAATATTGTTTACTTTTCTGCTCTAAGTAATCTCTTTTCAAGCGGACAAGGATTTCCATTTTTTTCTAATGTAATTCTGTTTAAGATGATTAAACACCTACACGGAACTTTAAATACAGTTTGCAAAGTGCTCTGAGAAATGTAATTAACCCTCTTCACCAACCCTTGAGCAGGTAAATATTGTGATTCTTTTACATGCGAGCAAATAATGTCATTCTGATTTGCTTACAGCAGGGAAGATCTCAAAGGAATTATTTTGGTAGAATAGCTAAAAAGAAACTGGATCATGACTCAGCTAAACTTGGCCTGTAATTTCCAGGAATTCTCTTTAATTATGAGGCCGACCAAGCCAAAATTTTGAACAGTGCTAGCTGCAACTTACCCCAAAACAAACTCTTCCTTTGGCTTAGGCCTTTTCAGTTTTTTGTTCCCGCTTGTTCCGCTTTGTGAAAAAGCCCAGTTTTCTTCATTCCAGCATCCTTCATGATCTGAGGAGTTGCCTTTTCCTGAGCTTCTTTTACCTGAGATAGGGGGAAAAAATCATATCTCTTCTTTAGGAAAAGTGTGCCACAGCAAAGCAGGCTCCCAAGGAACTCACATACCCACAAAGTAATGCAACCTCTGATGATCGACCTTCTTACAGGAGGGTCAAACCAATCTTATTTTTTCAAACGGACAATGATACTGTTGGTGACTTTTTCCCCCACCCCATGTATGTATCACCTCCAAACGAGCTCTCTTGAGGTACACAGGAGGGGGAAAGGATGAGTAGATTTGCACTAACAACTTCCCTCAATTCCCAGTATTTTTTCCTTTCCATTCTGACTGCTCCCCATTTTAGATTAGTACTTACCCACGTAGATTTACTAACCCAAAACATGTTTGTCAACATATCTCACAGAAACTTACCAAAAACGTTAATCTCGAATGTATCCTCCCCGAGCAAACAGGCTCTCTCGCACCACCCACAGCAAAGGGAAGCACAATACAGCAGGCCCTGGTAGGGCCGAGAACTACCCTTAAAACACCATGACCCCAAGCACCGCCCATATAGAGACACATTAATCATTCAGCATTACATAAAATACAAGTATTGGCAGGTTGACCAACTAACCAACCAAGCCTTTGGTCTGAAAGCTAAATGTCAAGTGATGAAAGACAAAAAGAGAGAGGTTAAGAGCCTCTGAGGAGAGGGGAATACAGACCGCAGGACCTAGAAGATCTGCCCTGCACCACGGAGCAGAAGCCCCTCGCGTCCCAGGCGCAGAATCAGACCACAGTTCCCACCACACACTCTCAAACTCCTTCTTAAACACCAATGTTCTCTTTTCCCCCCACGCCAGGAAGACTTTTGCAGTTTATGCCGTAAATAAACACTGTCAAAGCCACCCACCTCTGTCCACATTAGCACGCAGAGACGTGAGCATGCCCTCTGACACCAGAGTTTTATAAAGAGCACCTTTGCAAGATCTCTCCGATTTCCTGGAGCCACAGGTTTCTATCTTTTTAACACAGTCACTGTCCTCAGTTTTGACCTGTCCTGGTAAGCTCTGGGGCACCACCTCCTCGGTCGGGGTCAGTGGTTCCACCTTAATGTTATCAGTAGCCTCGCAGGATACTTCCTTGCTGGCTGTAATACTAAGGAAATCGGGAGGCTTGGATTCTTTGGTGGTCTCCATGGGTTTCTCCTTCGATGCTTTCTTCTCTTTCGATTTCACTTTTTTCTTTGGTGATTTTGTATCCAACAGGCTCCCCTTCGCACTCGAGGCCGGGCGTGCCTTTTTGCGGGGAACTTCAGCAAGTCTCTCGGCACCCCAGTCCCCCTTTGCAACAGCTTCAATTGTATACATTACACTTTCAATGTCCGACTCGGAGGACTGCCTCTTTTTACATGGTTTCTTAGGGGTGGATTTTTCATTTGAGTGCCGCTCCAACTTATTTTTTTTCTTTTTCTTCTTTATCTTTTCTGGCTTGCTTAGCCCAAGGATATTCATGTCAGCCATCGAAAGCTCTGGAGAACGGCACACGTGATCCTTTGAGCTGTCACTTCTCTCAAAGTGACTGCTGTCCACCACAAGACTGGTAAAATGACTGCATTTTGCAGTTTCTGGTTCCTCAGCTTCTGTCTCATCCCGGTCTTCTATCTTCCCCATCTCTGATTGCTCCACTTTTCCTTTACAGGAGTCCTTTATTGTTGTTTTCTCTAGTTTTTCTGCTTCCATTTCCTCTGCAATTTCTCTCGCCACATCTTCCGATGCTTCCACTTTTATCTTCCCAGGATCTTTCACTTTTACCCCTTCTGAAGCAAGGCACATCTAGAAGGAGTTTAAAAACAACCACCATGAAACAAGCACATCAGCTGTTAGCATTACTTACCTGCATTTACAGGAGGGAATTTCTCAGGAATCTTGATTTGGGGTCGTAAGCTACGCCACAGGACATTAATCAAGAATATGTTACAGTCCTACTGAAGCAGATCAAGCTTGATTATGTGGCTAAGTGCTAGAATAAGGCCTGTGGATTCTGCCACTAAGGAATAAAAAAACAATACTCCCGTTGACCTCAGTGGCCTTTCCATGATCCCGTAAGTGCCCTTTACATAACCCAGAAACCCATCACTAGAGTGGTTTTCAGAATACTCTTAAGTGTGGTGCAATGGCACAGTATCTCTCAGGATTGCCATGGCCAAATTCCCCTAAATCTCAAATTCACTCCTTAAGAAATTCTCCTATCTACAGTTCTCTCCTCCATTTTCCAAATGACCTCGAAGAGAGTGGAGCCAATTGCATCTCAACAATCACTTTCCGTTATTTCTATGTGCAAAACAATTCAAACGTCTGTAAAAAAAAAACCTTCGGAATTTTCCTTCTCATGCCACAGACCTATTCTGCACCGACCGCAAAGCAGCGGCGGTTGCCATGGTTATCTCCTCCTGGAGAAATCCGTTAGGGAAGCCTAGGCCCTCCTGGTGCCCGAGAAACACGTTCCGGAGCTGCCGCAAGGGCCGGGCTGCTCATGAGGTGAGCGACGCTGACGCTGCTCCAAAAGGCAGCAGCTTCTCCAGGAAGGTCATCCTTCCTTCTCTGCACTCTCCCTCTCAGCCCCCAAGCTGAATTCCCAGAGCTGTTCTGTTTTTAGAGCAGGTGTCTTCCAAAGGGCAGGCTGGAGTGGAGCAGGGGAAGGAGGCTTGCTTTCCACCACTCTCCCTGGAGCCTCCCGCTCCCGCTCCGCAGGCTGTGGGCTCTGCATGGGCTTTCTCATCGCATCATCAGGCTCTCTTTAGGTCAGTTGCTTATTTTTCAATCATCTCCCTCTTTTTCTTGAAAAATGAAAATCCTTTGCAGCAATATATGCATGAGTATAACAGCAATGATAGGCCTATTTATTGGTAATGGGTTTCTAAAACTCTTGCAGTGCGAGGCAGAGATCCCTAGTCTCTCAAGCAAATCAAGTTTAAACAAAGCTTAGAAACAAACGAAATACAACATACCCATCAGGGGCCACTGGTTTTAACTGATCCCAGAAGGAGCATCTGCTGTCACTCACAAGTTACCACAGCAGAGTTTCTATATAAATTATTGACTCCCCATTTCAGTAAAATAAAAGGCATGAAGGACAAAAATAAATCGAAGAGGCTAATGCCTTTCAACAGATATTTTGCAATAGCAATGCCCTAACCTCAATAACAGACTAATTTGGTCCCTCTTTTAAAAAACAAACAAAAAATTTTACCTCCCCAGAATCCAAACCCTGAAACAAGAAATTAAACCAATTTAAATGGAAATTGGATAATCCATTTGCTAGCAGGGACTGGTACTTCTTATCAGCTACAGCATAGGCTCTTAGAGGCTCCAAGTTAATGGCTAGGCTAGGGAAATCTTGACCCACGGCACCCAAACCCAGTTAATTTATGCTTCCATAAAGCACAATGTCATTTTATCTGTATGGTTCTGCCTTTCAGACTTTGGCAATCAACATCATTAACTTCTTCTCCTCTCTGCACCTGTGGTAATTAGTCACCAGCATTTTAATATTACCTCTGCCAGCTGAAATAATGCTGATGTCCCACACTGCTTTGTCAAATCAGAAGGACCTGAATGGGATGTACTTGAAGAAATCTAAAGAAAAAGAAAAGAAGAGAAGAAAATGACATTATTTCTTCAGTACAGTGTTTTTATGTCTATCATACAGCTTTGGAACGGATGGTTTCCCTCCCCTTACAAACATTCATTCATAAGATTACACCTTGAAAAAGAAGCACAGAGCTGCGTTCCTGGTTATAAATAAAGCGGCAGCCCCACTCCACCATCGCACTGGTAGGAAACACCACTGGACATTAAAAGCTAACTCCAGATTCGAGGTTCCTGTCAGTCAGGTCTCTCTCTGAAGAGAAGGCTGAAATGAAGCACAGATACGTACTCTTACATGTCAAGTGGTCCCGGTGACTTTGCTAGAGCCAACGAGGCCGCATCCATCCACACCAGCATGCAAACCAGCTCGTACTGTTTCCGCAGGCTTACTCAGACGTTTGCTGCAAAATCATGTCGCTGCCAAGGCTTAAGAAGTTTATTGCACTGCCCACCCATCCACACCAGCATGCAAACCAGCTCATACTGTTTCCGCAGGCTTACTTAGACATTCGCTGCAAAATCACATCGCTGCCAAGGCTTAAGAAGTTTACTGCACTGCCCATGGGTGTCCAAGAGCAAGCATAAAAGATGCCAGGAAACCCAAGCGAATGAAGAGACCTCAAACCTTTGGTAACCTTTGATTACTGCTCTTCAGCAAGGCCAGCAGGTACCTGACTATTCTCCAAGAGCCTTTTATCTTTTATCAGGCTGTCATCTTTTTCAGTACTTCAGTGTGTTTTGTATCAGCACCAAGATGAAGTACACATGGAGAAATAACCACTTTCAAAATGAATTAAAGCATCAACATCAGGATTGAAGAGCAGCATAAGGCAGAAAAACGTACATTTTTAAGGACACATCTCAAAATCTCTGAGTAAGCTTGCAGGCTTCCTGCAATTGCTTCCTTGGAAAGAGGTGCCTCATTTTAGGGACTGGGAACTAAAAGGTCCAGGACTATTTAGCCCGCACTCTTTCACATGTTTCTCTCAGCCCACATGGGCTGCTCTCTCGGTGTCCTGGGGGAGCTGCCGTTCTCCCCTCTTCCCACAGCGCAGGGCTCTGCGCAGCTCAGGGAGGGCGCAGCCTCCTCCCACGCTGCGGGGCCTGAGGCCACGGGGAGGGACCCAGGGAAGCACTTCCCTCCCTGAAATATGAAGTGGTCTTGAAAAAACAAGCAAAAAGAGTGTGCTAAGGAGGTGCTGACACCCTTCCTCATTTATCTGCAGCTCTGCAAACATTTCCATCTGGGTCATTAAGAGGAGTAACATTTTCAGGCCAAGCCTTGAAGGTTGCAGTGGTTTTTCCTACCAGAGAGGAAACCTCCATGAGATGACACTTAAGACTTGCAACAAATTCTGGAACTGTTTGGGAAACCTACATAGGCTTGAGAAATCTCCACTACTGCTGACAACTGCAAATTTTATTTCAAAACTTAATATCCTCCTGCAACTTCCAGCTCTATCTCCAGTCTCATTAACCTCATGATTAAAAAGGAATACCACTGTCTCTTGCCCTCACGACTACCTTAAGAATGCTTTTTTTTTTTTTCTCCTTCTCCAGTATGGTCTTCAAGAAACTACACACATTGCAACTGCCTCCTTACCTATCTTACTATCCAAATATTTATTGATTTGTGCTTCTAAAAATGGTAATAAACACAATTATTCTGAAGCACACCTTACACAATTTGTACTGTTGGGAAAAAGACACACAAATCTTCCCACCGAGACAGTAACGGATATAACTTTACCTCTGCCAACTGGAAGAGTGGCGACTTCCCACAGTGCTTTACTGGCTCAGGACTCGACAACTGGGAAGTATTTGATGAGATCTAGGTTTTAAATGAACAGAGGAAAAAACATATCAGTGACACACAGGAAAGACAGCGAGGAAGGGAGAGAAAGCAAAGTTAAAAAGGGGTTAGCTAACATCATTCACTTCTAGGATCTTCCTGGTAGAAGGCCCTACTTCAAAAAAGCAATCTTAGCCAAGAGACACTTAATAGGCATTTAAAGGTCAGTAGGACATAAGCAGATACAGAATTTCTTCCTTGTTTTTGCTTGGAATGGCATTAAGAGGTAGTATTTAAGCTGGAAGTCTTGAAAAAAACCTATAAAATCAGGGACAAGACAATCAGTATTTTCAAGACAATTGACTCATCACAAAAAACACTTATGACCAGGCAAAAATTATCAACTTAGTCTATCTCTCAATATTATGTCTTCCTTTTGAAGCAGCATCATTGAACAGCTTACTTTTAAAATATCAAGGAGATTCATTAACACACAAAAGAAAGAAACTTGCAACATCCATTCTAATGGCAGAAGTGGCCAGGGAAACAGGCACACATTACAGTATCATCATCACCAAACACACGCCGGATCCCAGCAGTACTAACAGGAAAAGGGAAGCCAGGGATTTACTTCAGCAAGGAGCTCCTTGCCAGGGGAACATACCCCAAGGGACACAACCGCAGAGCTCACTCTGCTCGAGTTGCTGGCTGCACGTCAGGGGTGTGAGGCTGATCAGGCCGCTCCCAGGGAGACCAGAGATCTCTTTTGCTGGCAAAACACCATCTCCCAATTTTAAGTGGGATAATCTGTACCTGCACTGCTACAATTATAAATAGTCCCTTCTTACGTAGAGGTTTAACTTGGGAACCATTAGGATCAAGTTACTACCCCTTTTACAATACATATCAGTGTCCGTGCTACTGCATTATATTTTAGTTTAAGAAGCATGTGCCAGGGTACCCTTTTTTTTTTTTTTAACCTTCTTCTTCAAGAACAGACATTTCACTTCCAACACCAATATTAAATGATTCCAGCATCTATGCAAACACCAGTTAAATTTGCCTATTAATTTAACGGTATTGCCTGGCATGACTGCAGCTTTCAAGTGAGGCTGTAAGAAGAGATCCTGACCAGATCTCCCCTGCATTTTCAAGGCATTCTGATCAAAGATCTGGGTTCAAGCCTTCTGGCTCAGAAGAACAACGAGACCTCCTGGACTTGAAGGGCTTATTCCACCTTGTGGCTGGCTGTGGGTGCCACTGTATTTTTATTAGATCACCAAAAAAATGCTTGGAAAGAGCAGCTAAAAGCAAAGATTTGGAGCCTTCGTTTTCTTTTCAACATGGTTAAACTAGCATTTTATTGCAAACTAGCAACCTTATTGCTGCCGCCTTCTGGAAGCATTTTTGTTGTTAACAGAAAATGAGAGCTTAGCTACGAAAAACCTCAGAGGTGCGTGTGATTCTCCTCCATGAAGCAGTCACCGCCATCTGTTCGCGTTTGCCAAAGAGACGTCCCGTAAGACCACGCGAGCGCGGGGCCCCATCTGCTCAAGGAGGAAGTCGGGAGCATCCACTCGGCCACACGCCGGGCTGCAAGAATCTCTCCCGAGGGCTTTATGATCTCTTTTAAGAGTCGTGCACTTGCTCTTTGGTCGGTGCAGGACCCAACAAGCCCTGCTCATGGGACTGCCGTCAGCTGCTGTGGCAGGTCAGCACTGGGCAGGCCTCATTAGCCCTGTCTTCATCAGCTTTAATTGAGAACTGAAACACTCAGGATAGACAGCCACATGAAAGCCTAACTGAGGCTCTAGAGAAGAAAGAGCCCCCTCCTATACATAATGAGCTGCTTGAGCGACAGGGGGCTGTAATCCTGGGGTCAGGACTGTCCATCCCAGGCCATCCATTTAAATGACACATCTACTCAATGGGATCACTTTCTTCACAAAGAACCACCTCTATTCGTCCCGCTGTGACAGGAGTAAAGAGAAAGGGAACACAGGAAGAACACCTAGTCAGAACACCAAAAACCCCTCAGTGGGGATGGCTGCCAAGAGCCCCCAGGCGCCCCAGAGCACTGCACAATTCACATTATATCACAGGTCTGCTCAGCCCCTGGTTAAGCAACTGCCTTATCCCTCTCCCTCTGGTAGCACTGTGCCTTGCTCACTGCATCCAAATTCCTCACTGTAATTTGGCTCACTGAACGCAGCCACGCATTCACACAGACAGGACCCGGTAAGACGCGGCACAGGACGGCATGGGATTTGTGCCAGCCAGGACAAAGGCGCCCTGTGCTAATGAAAGCCCCTGTATTAGAAGGAGCACAAGCAGCTTTAATAGCAGAGAGAAAGGCTTAAAGAGCTTCTGCAGCATGCCCACTATTTCCCCCTGGAAGAACCCAAATGAAATCAGGCTGCAATCTTAAAAAATGCCATTTCTCTAATGCTTTGGAAAAAGCAAGAGGTTAGTCACAGCCATTAGGGTTTGACAACAACAGCAGAACACAGGGGGAATAATCATGGCCAACAACTTGTTTTCTCTAATTTTGGCCCGGTCAGGTTTCAGTCCCTCTGTGCCAGATACTGGAAGAATGATGCAAAAAATTCAATCCACTCCTAAACAGCAGATCCATTTTACTACTTTTCACAGGTAAAGAGATCACTCTCCAGTTCAAAACTGTCCTCTCCAGTTTCAAATAAACTTTGCAAGCATCTCTTTCCTCCGACTTTCCATGATTCATGCATGCAGGCAATGGGCCAAATAAGCTGGCTCAGCACAACAGATGTGGGGTTCAACATAGTCTCATCCTTACGGCAATTTCGGGAGTTGCTGTTTGTTTGTTCATTTAAGGGAGGAACAGATTGTAGGTTCAGTGAGATCTGGAGGCTACAGCCTGATACAATTTTACTGATGATTTGAAAATACTGGGCTAAAGTCAGTTCAGACCCTGTTCAAGGCTGCAGAGGGCTAGAAATACTGTTTAGTTACAATCCACGATGTCTAAGATTTTCAAAACTAAATTAAAAGATTCACTTATGTGAGGTTTTTGCAATAAAATTATCTATAAAATATCCTATAGCTGACATCATTTAGTTGGTTTAAAAGGTTGGTTTCAGCCTACAGTTTCATTCTGCTAAAATCCATTGATTTTTTTTCTCAAAAAATCTTCCCAATTTAGGTTATTAACTTTATGAAGACATACGAAGACAACGTCACAATTCTGGCTATCAGTTCCATTTTATCTTTTACAGGAACGTTTCTGATCATGTATTTTATAGCTGCTGCATCTGTAAATTATTATTTCATAATTGGACCTCATAAGAAATACATGAAGACCCATTCTTGACAAGATAAAACCACAGAGTACACAATTTGCTTGAAATTTAACAGAAGGAAGCTTTCTTTTTTGTACAAACAATGGCTATGGTGCCTTTCATCCCCTAATGCACCCCCAGGGCAGCACCGGCTCCGATCTCAGGCCTTTCAAGCGTAGCCTGAGTATTCCCTCGATGTAAGCGGCTCTACAAGCAGTACCAGACTCCCCCAAATGGACAAGCAGAGAATCTATGTGTGGAAAATCAATTCATGGAGGCACATTAAAAACACGGAAGACATTCGTAAAAGCAATCCTTGAGAACCCCAAATTTTCATCACATAGAGGAGGGCGGATAAGGTAAGAGTACAAAAGAAGAGGAAAGAGCCTCAAGTTGTGTCAGCAGAGGTTCAGGTTAGATATTAGGAAGAATTTCTACCCAGAAAGAGTGGTGAAGCGCTGCGCAGAGAAGTGGTGGAGTCCCCGTCCCTGGCAGTGTTCAAGATAGGTGCAGATGAGGTGCTCAGGGACACGGTTTAGCAGGCAGGGTGTCAAAGGGTTTACAGTGGGACTCGATGATCCGGATGGTCTTTTCCAACCATTATGATTCTGTGATTATAGACTCTAAAGTGATCTATAGGTCATTATCTAATAATGCTGCTATGTGTCCTTGTAGATACACTCCTTCTGCCCTGCAAATTTATTTTTCAAAGGATTCCTGCCTCTAGACTAGCTGCCCTTTTCCTCCACTGCAGCCTCTTCCACAGGCAGTGAATACTGTCATTGGAGAATGCACTTGTTGTTTTTCTAGATGTGAATTAAAAAGCTTTTTTGGGGAGAAGAAAGGGAAAAAAGAAAAAAAAAGAAAAAAAGAAAAAAGGAGAGGACTCTGCAGCTGTCCTTAGGTATGAAAGGCCAAAGGTATGTTCACAAGCCCAGTGACTTCTGTATATGCTATAGCTGGTGTCTATTCAACTCAGTGGTCACTTCCTCGGGATTTTCTTAAAGCTATCATGAAGATGGGCTTTTAATGACTTTTTTTTTCCTCTACTGAGAGTAACATGTAGAGTGCTTAACCATTCAGTTACAACTCTTCTTGCTTCCTCCCATCTGCCCAGAACATGTTTTAGCTATTATACCTCAGCGAACTGAAACAGTGCAGACTCCTCGGTTTGTTTTACAGCTGCGGGGACATCTGGCTGTGATGTGCTTGAAGAGATCTGTCAAGAAAACAATTATGTTTATATTAATTAGGTCTGATCCCTTGCACAGAGAAGCTTCTGGTACTGAAAAAACACATAGATAAGTCTGACCACATCCATACAAAGGAACAGTACCTGCTTTCCCAGAAGACAAATGAATGCTGACCTGTGACAAGTACTTGAATTATCTTTCAAAAATATATATTTTTTATGATTTAAGATTAATACAACATAATGACTTTTTAAAGGTCTTTGACTTGCCCACCGATATGTCACAAGAGGGATAACAACAAAAACTTAACACCATGCTCTATGTCACATTTTAGTGTAAGACCTGCCTGCAGAATGGTGGTGCTGACAAAGTGCTGCCCAGCATGAAGATACGAGATCAGTACGGAAGATGTGCAGACACACGTACAACATATGCACATACTTTATGAAATACTGGATCTATCCCAGGCCCTGAGGGAACTGCGTTTTATACTTATGTCAGTTCTTCTTGTTGCAAATGGCACTTCAGATTAATGTTATACTTGGGCACCAATTATTTTTCTAACGACACATGTACCTGCTAGCTACTGATTAGGTGCAGCCTCGTTGCAAGCTATTTCCTTGGGAAATGAGACAAACTAGCTAATATGCATCCCTACCTATTAATCATTACTGAGCTACTTCCAAAATGTATTTTTTAGTGGTGCAGACGTGCTTGCTTCCTGGCACCCATCAACATCCTTGCCTGATGGGTAAGGAGAAGCTGGAGGCTTCTTAGCAAGATGCTAACTTGCAGCACACGATTTCTGTCTACTATCATGTGGCTGCTGCTTTCCTGCATAGGCACTATAAGGTGAACCAGAACAGTGAGTGAGTTGGGATTTGTCTTACAGATTGAAAGACTTACCAGTAAAATTGAAGAAACAAACCATTATCAAAAGGAACTGCATAAAATATTACATTGTTCAACTGACGGCATACAAAAATACCTTAGAAATACTTAGAGCTGGTTAACTCCAATGTCATTTATGATAACACTGTGGTAATATTTCGGTATCCTAATACGGGTGTTGAGACTTTAATTAAGATTCTCTAGTTAAAAGCTAAGTGCAGGAATGACAGATTTCTAAATTACTGATTAAATCACAGCTCTGCTATTTTTCTAGGGCTTCAATCATGTGCCAAAACGTACTCTCTTACACTTCAAGTCTACATATCTACCTGGTAAATGATCGAGTACCACAAACCAAAAAGAAAATTAAATAAATAAATGAAATCATCATGTTTAGTTGCACAGTTTTGCTTTCTCTTTCAGCTAGACATCAGATGTTTCTTTGAAGAACAAAACTGGAGCAACAGCCCTTTTAAGGAAGCTCACCTCTGCAAACTGAAACAATGACGACTTCGGGCAGGTTTCCGCAGAATTAGCCGCATCGGACTGGCAGGTACTCGAGGAAACCTGAAACAAGCGTGTGCAGAGTAAGACCTCAACGTGCCTTCTTTCAGCTAACAACATCAGGCAAAATGAAATAACAGGTAGCAGCAAAAGCAACAGCTAAACAAAAAGTGGACAGTGTAGTGTACCACAGTCCTGGACAAGTTGAACTGAATTATAGGATGAAAACATAATCTAGCACCCAGTTTGATGTATTAGACAATCATCTAACAGTAAAAAGAGTAAAGATATTGGGGGTTGGTTTTTACTCCAACCTTTCCCAAAGTTTCATTGAATAAGATGAGACTTCTGATCTCAGGCTATATATACACATGTACAAGCTTAAAAAATAAAGTTTTCACAGAAACTAATAATTAAGTGATAAAAATGCTTACCTAAAATAAAAATCCCTAAACATTTCACAGCAAGAAAACAACCAGTAAAGGGCATCACAGTTCTAAAGGTGTTGGAATAATCTTATCTAAACATATGGTTTTGGGGTTCTTACAAGAAAAAAATCACTTAAAACTTCCGAAATCAAAATACAAAGAAATGACTGTCCAAAAAAAAAAAAAAAAACCTCAACAAATTATTCTGCACACTAATCATTACTAAGACAAAACTTGGGCATACTATTATTAGATAGAAATGTGTTATTCAAGTATTCTTCTTAAAGGAATTGTATCAAAAATTAAATACATTTATGAAATGTCACAGCTGGGTGTAAAACATTCACACATGTGATTTGCAGAAGCATGAGGTACTGCTAATAATGTGTGTAGAACAACACATGAAAGCTGAAAGGAGAACTATGTGGGGTTTTAGGAAGATGACAATATGATGGATTTTCTTCCCCTCTCCATTTTTAATTCTCCATACAATTTCAGGTTATTTTAAACATTTCTAAGCGAATGTGGCTTTTCTCTTACTTGTCACCAGAACAAGCACAGCAATAGCACTTACTAGTGACCGCAGGTGTGAGGACCTGCCTGCGAGTGCAGGGCGCCCCAGAGCAGGCGGGATCACTGCAGAGGCAGCTCCTGCTGCTGCTCCTGCTGCTCCTGCCCTGCAGCAGGGCGACTGGCATCGCCACTTGGCACGTGTGCTGCCCAGGGAACGTCTATTCCTCTCGGAGCAGTAGATCTGACTGCTGCAATTCCCAAGTCCAGGAGAACTGCACCACAGGACGACTTGCTGATGCACAGTTAAGCTCATTTCCTTCCTGCCGTATAAGCCAGCAGTTCCAGCGACACCTCCCACAACCAATGCTTTCATTATAGTTATTGAACAACTAGCAGGATGCTTTAATGGAGTACTACAGAAGTGTGCCAACCCAACACAAGGGGCTAAAATGATCAAAGAATGCCCATTTCTGTCACCTTACTTTTGCCTTTTTAATGGTTTGTGTGACAGTTTACATTGATTTATTGTTCTTATTACTGCTTTTTCATGTTTGCGTGTTATCCGTTTTCAGCTTCCGCAGCTCAGTAGTGGCATGGGATGTACCAGAAATGCATGTCCATCCTTCTGCCTCCCCCTGCACCCGTGTGAAACACCTAAGCACCCTGCTTGCAAGCTTGAGCTTGCACTTGCACCCACTGCAGTGCCAACCTGCAGGAGACTCCTCATCTCCAGAGCTCTAACTCTTTGGTCTAGCAGAAGCCGACCAGGAGCATGGGGACAGATGTCCAGACATTGCCACGGCATATGTGTCATCTCCTGCTGTAATAGAAGTCCTCGACATTTCCTGATATCTTCTCCTTCTTACCTGCATCTCTTCAGCTACACTGAAAGAATTCTCGGTTTGGATTTATGCGGCAGGGGATACCACTCTGCATGGTCCCTAGTGACATGGAACTACACACAAGATAACCTTTCCTTCCCCAGGAGAAGGAAACCGAGGACACTGCCCACTTTCCCTCGCAGTTTACGATAACCTACCCTACATAAAACAGGAGAGAACACAGATAAAAGATGCCTCTGAGAACATACACTCATCTTCCTCACAGGCTGATAGCAAATTATAATATGGCCTTGGTACATAGAGCAGCAAGAGGGGTTAATACTGCTTAAAGAGCCAAATTTGGGACTACACTTACACACTGAAATAACGCACTGAGACCACTAGGTGTTGCTGTAAGGCAAGTAGAAGCCACCATGGGCAAGGTAAAAGTAACCCGGCGTGAGCTGGAAAGCACAGAGCACTCCCCATGCATTTCAGATTTTCTTCTGAAAACAAGGAGTGATAAAATGATGAGGTCAGGCTTTGTCAAATGCAATGCCAACAGTAAGCACAGAATCATAGAATCACAGAATGCTTAAGGTTGGAAGGGACCTCTAGAGATCATCTAGTCCAACCCCCCTGCACACTCAGGGTCACCTAGAGCACGTGGCACAGGACTGCGTCCAAGCGGGTTTTGAAGATCTCCAGAGAAGGAGACTCCACAACCTCTCTGGGCAGCCTGTTCCAGTGCTCTGTCATCACTGTTAAGAAATTTTTCCTTATGTTTCTGTGGAACTTTTGATGCTTTAGTTTCTGGCCGTTTCCTCTAGTTCTGGCGGTGGCCACCACTGAAAAGAGGCCAGCACCATCCTCCTCACTGCCTCCCTTGAGGTACTTATAGACACTGATCAGGTCCCCTCTCAGCCTTCTCTTCTCCAGCCTGAACAGGCCCAGCTCCCTCAGCCTCTCCTCATAGGGCAGATGTTCCAGGCCCCTGATCATCCTTGTAGCCCTGCGCTGGACTCTCTCCAGCAGCTCCACATCCCTCTTGTACTGTGGAGCCCAGAACTGGACACAATACTCCAGATGCGGCCTCACCAGGGCTGAGTAGAGGGGCAGGATCACCTCCCTCGAAAGGGCTTTCACAGGAAGGGTATGTTGTATATAACCTCTCTTAAAAACACTCCTTCCCCCCATTCATTACCGTTAAGAAGAAATTAAATGAAACAAAGAAATTTGTCTGCTCATCCCAAGGAGAAGCCCGGCAGAGGGGTGAGCGGCGGCTACTCCTCCCAGTTTGGTATCATCAGCAAACTTGCTGAGGGAGCACTCTGTGCCTTCATCCAGGTCATTGATGAATAAATTGAACAGGACTGGACCGAGGACTGACCCCTGGGGGACCCCGCCAGCTACAGGCCTCCAACTAGACTCTGCACCGCTGATCACCACCCTCTAGAGCTCTGCCATCCAGCCAGTTCCTAATCCACCTCACTGTCCACTCATCCTCACTGTCCACACTTCTGGAGCTTGCCCAGGAGGATGCTGTGAGGGACGGTGTCACAACATCCTCCTGGGTAATGCACAGGCATGTTAACCGTTTTTGTGCAGGGGTTTAATAGCATATGCACATGTATGCATCACCATCTGGCATAACCAAAGGAAGTACTCGAATGCCAAGTGGAAGTGAATTGCTTAACTAAATCATTTGCTTATTGGTGCTAAGATATTTAACTTTTCCTGCCCACCTCATTAGTGACTTGAGCTAGAGTTTGGCAAGTAACCAAGTATCAACACCGTCACTAAAAGAAAAATTCTGCAGTCTTTTGTAACCGTCTTATAACTTGAGTTACCAGGACAGGAACGTAACCAGCCGCACACAGAAATGCAGCAAAGCTGCTCTGTAAATATGGCTCTTGTGCCTCCTCTCCTTCCTGAGCTCATGCAGGCTCACACAGGCACCCAACACCTGCAGCTCTGACAAAGGCAAGGAATATCTGCTGTGAAAAGTCTCTATACCTCCATTTAACCAAAAATCAGTGGGCGTTGAATAAATTTCCTCAAGATTAGCAGACTTGTTACATAAGTATCATTTTCCTCATCTTCCCTGAAGCTCTTAAACTATACTAGTCCTCCACTGCTTTTACTAACATTCTTTAAGATGATAACCACATTTCAAGACCTATGCTTAATTAAGGTATATGCTGAACGTTTTCACTGATGATATCTCAGCACTCACCTTAGGACACCAAAGGCACCAATATTCTCCACAATGTCAATATCCACTCAAATAAAACACAATTTCAAATTGCCCACTGCAGAGGAAAGAATCTTACCAATTCCACAACAGATCTGGGAGGTTTTTCAGTACGTGCTGCTGTGACACTTAGGTGTCTCTCAGATAGAGTGCTTAATTCCAGCACCTACTTACTCACCCGCAGGGCTATTAAAGTGTGGTAACTCACTAGTAAGCAAGGGCCAATTTCAGGCCCGCAACGATACTTAGCAACAGCCAGCAGATTCCTCAACCAGATTTGTGCTGGCTGTGTATACAACCATTATTTTGCTTTACATTTTTGGTGAAAGCGGAGCACACGGCTGGTTTCTGTGATGTGGAAGGCCAGATTGCAGAGAGAGCCGCACAGCGGCTGCCTGGAAACCACCTGCCTTTAACAGTTTCTGGGTTCCAGCTCCTCCATCTGAGAGAGGACCATCCCGCTGAGCAGAAGTGCCTAGTTTGATCGTACATTAATCCGTTACTGAAGTTAATACTGAAGTGATGTCAAAACCAGGCCCAGCATCTACATACGTGGCTGGGACAGGAGGCTCACACCTGGGTGGCTCCTGAGGTTACCAGGTTCATTTCCAGCTCGCCAAACACTCCTTTTCAAGGGTCCTGGTAACTGAGGACTCACAGTGAGGGAGAAAAGACAGTTCCTTACCTCTTGTGCAGTCAGGGCACGCTCCCCCGCTAAAAGCAGCATACTCAGGCCTCCCATTTGTGTAGGATCTGTTAAAGAGCAAAACCAAGTCTTCAGTTGATTCATTTGCTTGCTGCAAGAACCTATCATTTGCAGTGTTAAACCCCCAAAAGGCTCCTTGTCACAGACACTCTAAGCAAGCCTCCATAAAAGCCAATTCAAGAGAATCGCAAATAACCATTTCTGTACCCTCTGGGAGAGGCTTTCAAAGCTGTTTGAAGGATTTAATTGGATTTGTGTGCTTAACACCCCATTGTGTGGATTTACAATTTTACTGCCAAAGGTTTTATGTACTACAGAGATGGATATCTTTAAAACAGCAACTGTAATCATCTCATACATAAATATACACAAAGAAGATGCTCTAACATCACGAATGTTTATAACTCAACAGATGCTCCTACCAAGGGAGCCTTCCCTTCCCTTAGCCACTGAATGAGAAAAAGGATGGAAGAAAATGACGTGATCAGGCTCTGAAGCAAATTTGCTGTTTCCATTTAGCTTTAATTTAGAGCTGCATTTGGTGGTGAGGACTGCCAGCTCAGAGGCACAAAGTGCCTTCTCCTGTGCCAGGACAGCACAGGCCTTGCCCAGGCAGTGTGTCTGCCTTCGTGTTGCCCTGCTGATACCATATATACTGGGAGAAGGCAAGATGGAGACAGAGAAAGGACTTTTGTTCTTCCTTCAGCCTTTCTGCACCTCAGGAGTTCTGCAAAATGGTAACAAAAAGCAAAAGCAATGAACACTGCCATGGCATCATTCACAGGGTGGCTTCTCCAGGCACCTTGAAATACTTGGCTGCTCTTCATTGTTATGGAGACTGATTGTCTGATATTGGGGGTCCTTGGAAGCAACACAAGGTCCCAGTTAAGCAGTGTTGTGCACAGAGAGGGACAAGCCCTGCAGCCCAGATGTCTCACACAACAGGCACAGTGTGAGAGAAAGGAGAGCCTTATCTCTGCTGTACTGCTAAGGTGCAAGAAGTCAAGCGACTACTTTGCTAGGTCTCCTTAAGCCTGCACTCACATTTTTCACCTTCCAGATCTCCAGTAGCTGAAGACCTCGACATTAACAACTGACAAAATCAACAGTAAGTTACACTTGCCCAGAACCATTCTCTGGCATGAAGGCTGACTGGCTGAAATACCCTAGTGCATTAACTTCTGTTACCCTCTTTAACAGAACAGCTGCATCCCAAATGCCTACTGGCATTTCCCATTCCAGCCCATGAACTGTGTCAAGGGATTTCTGGGAGAGCGGCAGCTGCTGTGGGCCCAAGCTGTACCTGTGAACTTCCCAGCCACTTAGCACTACAGACGATCAAGTTCCCCTTCGTGCCGCTCGCTGGCACTGCTGAATTAACACTGCAGATGCTGCCAACCTTCTCCCTCACCCAGCATCCCACACCCATATTCACAGGAAAAGGGTTTTCAATATTCTTTCAAAAGACAGGCATACTAAAGCAAGAAAGTGGTGTGAATAAACCAGGCTCATCCACTAACTCAAGGACTGTGAGCAGAGTGGCTCACAGTCTTAAGAATAGTCCTTAGGTAGTACCTGGTTTCAAAGTCAATGTTCAACTAGTTTTTTTCCCTTTACTGTAATAAACAGAAAATTGGACTTTTTTTTTTTTACTTTTTATTCTTTAAATGTAAAATAGAAAAGTATTAAGCTTTTAGAAAGAGACTGTGCAGTAACAGAAATCTAGCATCTAGCAACAAGAAGTGACTGAAGAAACAGAGATGGAAGATGGGGAAGAAGGGAGTAAGCACAGCTCTTAAGTGAGGCAATCCTGTCAGAAGAGCACTTTCACTATTAAAGTACTTGATTAGCAACAACTCTGTCTTTCAGAAAAGAGGAAGTCAGAGCAATTGAAAAGTGAACACGGATCTTGAAGGAAAATGACCGAACAGGTAGTTCACTTGCAGGAAAGAGATGGAAAGGGACCTCCTGGCCCATCATAAAGTGACTGAGCTCCAAATGAAACATCTAGGGGTTGGCCAGTTGCTTTCTGCTTTCTCTGTTTCCACTAGAAGGCAGTTGCATAAGCTGAATTTTTTAAGCATTAAGAGCTTTCTTTTAACTTTCAGTTTAAATCTACTCAGGGCCAAGCGGTACACAGTTGCCCTAGAGCCTGCACTTTAAACTTGAATAACTCTTCCTAAATGGTACCTCCCCTCTGTTGTATTCACAGGAGTCATCCTATTCTTTCACCACTAGCCCAAGCAAATTAAAATCCTGTGACACCGGCATGCACATGTGTCTCCTATTTCCCTGTTGTAGCTCTGCTGGCCAGCTGTTCCACCTGGAGCTCCTCTTGCCTGCACACGTACGGCCTGGCGCACAGGCACTCCGGAGAAGCTCGCACCTGTGTTCTGCTCAATGGCATTAACTCTTCCCTAGGGTTCCTGCAAATAGTCTGCCCGACATGTCAGGACAGCACTTCCTTATGCCCCTGGCACCCTGATGGCACATAGCCTTCTTGGGATTGATCGTTAGATCTTTCTCCTCATCCTTTTTTTTGCCAAATGGAGAAGACTCAGCTTCTAGTTGAGTCCCCACGTCTAAGCGCCTTCTTTGCTGGAAAAGTTTCCTGTTTTCTCTCCTTCAAATGAGTAGCTTTTAATTACAGGATAAAGCTAGTTTTTTTTTTTTTTTTGGGTGAATCTTGAAGAGACACTTAAACCATTTATTTTAAAATAAAAAAAATACATCAAGAGGAGGGGAAAAAATGACAGCTTAGTAGGAAGTGAAAGTTTAATTTGCTGCTTAACCAACTCAAGAACACTTATGCTGCAGCTGTAGCACAGCTTCAATGTCTGATCCCGATAAAAGGCAAAAACCCTTCCATTAAGATTTCAAATTACATAATAATATAAGGGAAGATAGCATGTATGTATTCCGACACTGCCATATGTTTATAGTGTCTTCCAAGCACAATTATGCTTCTCTAATGGCACTAGGAACCAAGTAGCACTAGTACAAATAATTCAGAATTCTAAGTGTTATTTTAAAGTCATTTACAGGCAAATCAAGAATAAAGAGAAAATATTGTGCACATTTGATACATAGCCTGGGATGCGACTTGTGACTTTTTCAGCTGCCTCTACTCCTAACTGAACTTACAACCATCTACCCATTCGAAAACAACATTCTTTGTTAGTATGAGCCTGGGCAGAAGCTCAGCTGGCTGGCTGGCATCAGAGCAATTTTTACATCAGAGGAAAGTAAGAGCTGAGCAGAAGTAAGGAACCGGGAGCAGATTCCGAAATGTGGCAGCATAGGAAATCCTGCAGCCTGGCAGCTGGGCCAGCTGTTGCTCACAGAGCTCTGCAGCTGCGGGAGGAGAGGCTGCAAGGGAGCAGAGAAGAGCAGCCGCGTCTGCCTCAGGCCCCGCGCCAGAGCACAGGTGGGAGCCACGTCCCAGGGAAGGGGCTCAGCAGCAGCGCACGGGCTGGCAGAGCAAGGACACGGGGGATTCCGCGGGGCACGGGCCCAGCGCTGCTGCTGATGCTACACCTGAGGTCTTGGTAAAATAATAAAATGGGAGGGCAACACGAGAAAATTGAACAATGAGAAAAATCAGGATGGCTACTGTTAGAATGCCAAAAAGGGGGAGAAAAGGCCTGCACTAGACTTTCATGAAATGAAAGGTACATTTTTACTCTATATAATGCATTTTCCATAATGAAGTGTGACATAGAAGAAAAAAAAAAGACCGTGTTTAAGATCGTGTTTACAACAAAAAAAAAAAGACCATGTTTAAGACCGTGTTTACAATTACTAACAAGCAAAATGAATTTCCTGGAATGATTCTGTAATAGGGAAGTGTCTGGCAGTGCTGCAGGAGAGTGGGGGTCAGCACCCAGGCACGACAGGTCCTACTGCTTGCTGCTTGTGCCAAGTCAAAACCTCTTTCAGGAGCAGGAAAGTCACTCCTCAGAGCACAAGCACTGCTCTGCTAAGTACTGTAGCTACGCAGCATGAAAACCTTCATTTTGAGTCATGTTTCACAGTTCCTTCATGCACAGAAGAGATTTCGTTGCAGTAATTCTCATCCTGCTAAACTGGCAAAAAGCACCCACAAGCCTTTTTAGCCTTTTACACTTGCTCCATAAAAACATTTTCCACTCTCTGAAAAACTCAGGAACTCCTCAGGCAGAAAAGTCTTGTGTGTCACACACTTGTCATAAGGCAGGTAGAATAAGACAAAGTTTCAAATACCTCAACATTTAGAAAATCAGAAACAAAATGAAAGAAACTTACTTTCCACCCTGCAACTGAAGTTTTTAAGCTACCTCTATTTAAGCACATTAAGGCCTCTGTATTTCAAGGCCATGATTGCAACAGTTTGCTATTTGTGTTATACCAGTGAAAGGGAGAGATTAGCTGCCCTTCACGAAGTACAGGCTCTATCTACACTGATTTTTTTTTAATGTAAAAATTTGGACGCCCCAACAAAATGGGAAAAAGAGCAGATTTTAGAGAAAATTAAATTACATTTATTTTGACTTAAGTATAAAGAATTAGCTCCACAGGTACATTCATCTAAAGGAATATTAAAACCTCCAACTTTATTATAGACAGCCACAAGTTACTTGCTATACAGCAAGCTGCGAAACAAAGTGCATTGCTTCATGAAAAAGAACGCACCAAGTTAGCACTATCGTTGATTAGAAAATGAAAATGTCTAGTTCTAGCAACAGATAAGCCTGAGCTAAAAATAAATCGAATCTCAACCCCAAATGGCCATATTTTTAAGAAACGTTACATAGCTGGACCCACATCAAAAAGCAATCATGTTCTTACCTCGGCCCTGAGAAAAACACTGCAAAGTTGTCATATAGGTTTAAGAATGATCTTGGCAACTTAACTGGGGGATATGAAAAGCATTTACACTCTGTTACCACCTGCAATAATGAAAACTGCTCTTGCAATCCAATCCCAAAGTTGCATTCTCCAAAAACGCAACGGTGTTCCCATGAATCTCACCTGCCATTCCAAAGTTAAGCTGTGGCATTTCTTCACTTTTTGTCACTTTCCTGGGGCTTGGTAAATCTTTCGCAGAGTCTGACGAAAAGGCCCACAGCTTTTTCCTGTTTGTAACAGTGGATGTCTGGGTTTTCACAGGTTTGTTTGTTGTAGGGCACCACTTGTACCCTGGATTTGCCTTCATGAATGCATCCTTGTACTAGGAAAGAAAAGGAGAATTATCAGTCACGCCAGTCAGGACATTACATTACTTATAGAAGAATGAAGTGCACTGCTTTTGTGAGGATTAAATTCAGCACCTGACCTTTAAATGTTGTGATTTTATAGCAGTGTTTTAATCGTATATTACAGTATGACCACCAACATAAGCTAACATAAAGAAATATTAAGATCAGAAAAGCTGTATTTAAAACAGAAGGTTTATCACCCAGAGGAGGCTTAAGTCCTGATCCTGCAAACTGCTCCCCAGTGCTTGCATGGGGCTCAGTGTCGCAGGAGGCAGCTATTTAAACTCTTTTGCAGGTACAATCTTTGTTTGTGTTCTCGTTTCTGAAAACATTCACTTCAGAACAAATGTGCTGCTTACCCTGAGATCCTTTTTCCCTAACAATTCTATATTTTAGTATATTTGGGTTATATCCCTTCCCATGCCAGGCACATTCCTTAGAAAATAAACAGCTACCTGTATCACCTGTTTTTTCAGTGACTCCTGAGAGGTCACTTCCAAACTTTACCACGCTGCATGGCAGCACTTAAAATGAACTGTGACCATTTAAAACTTTCTTTGGCCTTGACCACTTGCAGAACACATCTTAGTTGCTTGGAACAATCTCGCATGAGGCAGCAAAACAACCTAAGCCAGACAACACATAGAGTGGAAAAAAAGTCCCCAGATTCCACACAGTTTGGCGCGGGGGCGGGGGGGAGTGGGAACCCACTTTTTTCCCCTCAAAGCCTGACAGTGAAATGTTCCAAGCACCTTGCTGACCGGGTGAGAAGGATCTTTGGACGTGAGCAGCAACAAACCGAGCGCCTTTTTGCAAGCGTTACTCCACCGAGCGCACTTCAGCGTCTTGCACGTGTTACTCCACACGGCGCCCGACAGAGGACGGTGGGAGGATGCCGAGCGCCCCCGCTGCACGTCTGTCCCGTGAGCGGGATGGTGGTTACGGGTGCTGCCGGCAGCCCCGCAGCCTCTCCCAAAGGCAGGAATGTGCCGTACACGCGCGCTGCAGGAAGCACCCCCTCGTGCCGAGGAACACCGCAGAGAGCAGCCTGCAAAGCTTGTCCTCGCACGGAGGTACCGCAGCACTATCCCGGATAGCGCGGCTCCTCTGTCTGGGAAGTCCTGGAATGCCTCATGACCATCATCGCGTCTCCTTTACTTTCATTTCCATCTTGATCTGTCATCTGTCACCTTCTACTTCCAGACTGCAGCAATGCTCAAAATGATTCATTCCACGAGCAGCCCGGCACCGTGTGAACCCGCTGCGCAAAGCCCTCTATTTATAGCAATGGCTCTAAATAATGAAAAATCTGCAGGGGCTGCCGACCCATCTACTCCCTGTACATCCTGACCAGGGCATGTGTATTGAACGGGCAGGCTAAGGCCTGTGACATCTCTCACCTCCCGCCTTTTCCTCCGTTTTGTTTGGGAGTTGTTTCGCCAGTGAATGCACAGCCAAAAATAGCTCCGCGGAGGCAAGGGAAGCGGAGGGAGAGGAAGGGAAGGGCGGAAGGGAAGCACACCGAGCGGCAGCTTTGCTTCCCGCTGTTCACGCAACAGCCCACCCGTGACTCATGCTTCCAGCCCACGCAGCTAAGAGCCCGGCACCTTCAGCAACCAAAAGCATTAGCTCTTCCCACCAGAGCTGCCACTTGGAATAACTGAGTTATTCCAGGGGTTGAGCTGAGGGGGCAAGGGGCTGCCCATGGAAGGGGGAGCAGAGCGTGCCGCGCGTAAGCGAGGCCGTGGCAGCGCCTTCCTGCAAGAGCAGCTCCATGGGGGTGCTGCGCCGAGAGAGTTCCTCCCCTGCAAATCCAAGGATTTAACATTAACTACGCCTTCCAGTGCAGTGGGAGGGAATACAAGGGAAGACAACTCCTTGGCTCCTTCAGACTCTTCTCAGTATTTCAGCATTTGAGCTAAATGAAAAAAAAAGTCCAAAAAGTTAAACAACAGTCAAGAAGCCATTTTATAAGATGCAGACAGCAACCGCTCCAAATCTAAGAAATACTTCAAATTTTGATCTGCATTAGACCCATTATTAGACCAATGCCTAAAATGAATAAATAATTCGGCTTGCCAGGTTATAAGAAGATACCTTAAATGACTCCACTAATAGGAGAAAGCCAAAAGCAGTTGTGGCGCGTACTGTTTTTCTCCATTCAACCAACTGTGCAGTAAGCCATTTTAACACAGTTAACCTAAGGAAGTTTTTAAAGTCACTTAAAAAAAAAAAAAGAAAAAAAGGAAAGGAAAGGGAAAAAGAGAAAGCAATGTAGTTATCCTGGAAGTAAAGACAACATTCTTGTTTCTGTGTTCTGTGCAGCGCAGGGCACAGCACTTTTCAGGAGCATCCTGCAAGATCAGGCTCTGTAGTTCCACATAATAGAAAGTTTTGAGGATCAGTTTATGAATCATTTCCATTTTGTGGATGTCTAGGGAAGGATGTATTACATGAAAATACCGAAATGATCAGGCCAAGTTTAGAAATGACGTTTAGAAAGGTGCTGCATGTAACTGCAACTGCCTGAGTTGCTGTCATCACCAAATAAAAAGGATTTGCTTTCTCCAGTGCCATGGAAACAGAAGCTCAGGAAGTATGTTCAAACTACACCTCAGGGTAGCAGTTAGCACATGCTTAACTTTAAATGTATGCTTAAATTCCACTGACTTTCTATTAAAAGCCCATGAATCCCAGAGATCTAGGAGGAGGGGGGCGGAAATAAAATACTACACTCTGTTTTTCATTCCTGAAGGACACAGGTTTCGCGTTACGCGTTATAATCCCTACGTCACCCAAGGAACTTGCCAGACTGCAGCCGGGGAGCCAGAACATTTGTCTCCTCCTCCTTTGAGGGGCTGCCAAGGGAGCAGCACCAGCGAGCGCGAGCCCGGCTGACTCCATCTGAGCCCGGCTGACTCTATCTGCCAGCAGAGCCCTCGGGGGGAGCAGAGCTGGGATCTGCTGCCCAGCGGCAACGGCCTGGCCTTGCCAGGCTGCTCGCGACAGGAAGCGACTCCCGCTGCCTGGATCTCGCCGATGCAAAGACGTCTTTAAAAACGAAGCGCTTTCCAGCAAGGGAAGCGAGGCTTCAACAGGAACAACCTTGCTGGATATTTTCCAAGACAGTTGAATATATATCCAGTCCCCAATCAGGACAGTTGTAGAGAAAGTCCTGTAAGAATTAATGGATGGACACTTCCACTACCACTGTCATAACCAAAAATGCTGGAGCAGATTCAGAGCCTTCAGAATTCATTCTGTCCTCAGCACGCTGAAATGCTAATAAACGGCTTGAGCGCTTGTGGTTCTGCTTGGAGGATTTATCAGCTGTTGAGCTTGCTCCCTGTGTCATGAGATTCCCAAGTTACGTAGACCTAGGAGGTTTGCAGGATGCAAACAGAGAGCCAGCTTCTGAAGAAAGCACTTGCAGAAACTCATGCCGAGTTTTGCAGGCGCAGTGGGAAGCCTCAAGGGCAGGCGCTGCTGCTGTAGGAGAACATAAACCCCAAGACTTCCAACACAGGGAGCACAGGGATCATTTTTTCAAGATATTAAGGAATCCCAAAGTGCAGACAGGCATATCATGGGATTTTCAAAAGTGCCTAAATGAACCACACACCTGATTATCCTCTGGCTGGGAATCAGGGCTAGATACCTAGCCTATTAGGACACTTCTCCTAGTGCGAGTGCCTCACTATCTTAAAAAATCTGAAGGTTTTGCCTATAGCAAGACACATGTAAGTAAACAAGCAAAAGCCTCAAATTTGCACAGCTGCTGAGAGAAGTATCCATTGCTGGTACCGAGCGGGTTAGAAACTGCAGACTCACTTGAAGCTTCGTTTGAGCGATCTGCTTCTGTAACCTCTGCCTTCAACTACCAAAAGCATTCCCGAGATGTGGCTACATCAAGGGCTGCGGTGCTCCTGCAGCATGAACCACTTCCACGAGGTGGTTCCCAACACAGCACTTTGCAGCTCAGGGGACACAAGAGGTGTTGCAGAGCTAGCGGCTATGACAGCGTCCATGGGAGACGTGAGCCCTTCCCGGGCCACAAACTGTGTCCTGGAAGTCTCACATGGCACTCAAAAGCTACACTTAAGTAACTAAAGCTCATCTGGCATATTTAAAATCTCCATGTGCTTAGATACATAGACGATGAAATAAAAGGTTACTAGTCCAATGGTACTTTCATGCCCTACCAAAGGCACCTACCTTCTTCACTTCTAAACTTAATCTCCTTGGGAAAAGACCCATTATCAATATATGGTTCTCACTGGATTCATGTTAACACTCTTTTGACAGACTCAGTAAACTATGTATAAAAACTTGTGTTAAAATAAACAAACCCTCCACACACCCAAAAGAGGCCTGTGAGGAAGCTCCAAAGACGTTCAACAGCAGATTGTGGCTGCTAATTATTGTTGTATTATACAGCTGCTTAAAGAATAAAAATTACACGCTGTATCTCTTCTCCATACTCTTGGAACTAGTTTTTACGATCTCAGCTATTTATTGTTTCTCTTTCACAGTGAAAATACAACTTGTTCTTCATGCCAAAGGAAATAAATAAATCACCACAGGAACAATGATTTCTACAACAGTATGATTAATAGTTACAGATCAGTCACTTCACACAGAACTTCTACTATTTTCCTCCTTAATGAATGTTTCCTTCAGCAAGACAAAAAAGCTAAGAAAAAGTCACATCAAGTTTGTTTCTCTCGAAATTTTTTTGTGCAGTTTCATCTTTCTCTTCCATCTGTACTGAATCTCCTAATTGCCCTTCACCCACACATTCAAAGAAGTGCCACTCTGCAAGTGACAGATTTGGAAGTGGGAGAGTAGAATAAATCAGGAATGGTTAGACAAAACTCAGACTCCAATTCCTCACCACTGTGCCACACGCATCAGACTGGAGAAGTACCACAGACCCTGCTTAAAAAGAGTCTGCCATAAATAAGCCTCATTTTTCTTGTTGACCTCTTCCAAGCTCACACTGAATATCCAAACCTCCTATATGTGTGTTGACAGTAGCCAACAACTTCAGGTGGCAGGAAGGGTACAGATAACAGTTTCCTCAACTGCTCTACAGCTACCTATATTTTTTGTAGCACCCTAGCATTACTCAATGAGTGAATTATATTCTTCTTGTCCCTAGCCCTCTATTATTTTTTCTAACACTGAATTCCAGGGTTACCCAAAACGTGCATCACACAGGTAATAACTGTAATCCGTTTTGCAGCCCGGCAAGCTATTTCTCGTCTCCCAGTTAAAGGACTTTGCCTATACATTACTTTTTCTTTCACGGATTGGACTCTGCCCCAACAAAGGCTGCTGAATCAGAAACTGGTAACGATGCACAGCTAGAGTATATCACTGACTTCAATAGTTTTAACATTGTTTAGCTATTGTCAAAAGCAAAAAGGGATTAAATTTGCTGATTATGTTTGTGGTTTGGTCCACTTACGTTGTACAACACAGATGCATTTGCTATTGATAACAGCAGCTTGAGGTAGGTATCACCACAGTCAGCTGATAAGGAACTGTATGCTACTTACTCCGTTTTCCGTGTTTCCTACTCTATCCACATGTTAGTGCTTGCACCCCATGGAAAAAGTGTATGTTTTATGCAGAAGACCAATTTCTTTTTTCCTGAAGGCCCCAAGCATCCAAGCAAGGACAACAGCAGCTCTGGGCACCATAACTCGAGCGGGGACTTGGGTATTCCACAGAAGACCCCTCCAGACACCCTTAGAGGCCACGGAGCCGGCACGTACCTCCTTGGCCATGTCCGTGTACTTCTGCTTCTCGTTGGGCTCTAGAACGGCCCACCAGTCTGCCAGGATCTTGGTTGCGCCACGATTATCGAGCCGGGGGTGCTCCTGCCGCACAAGGGAGCGGTGCCGCTTGCAGAAGAGGAGGAACGCGTTCATCGGCCGGCGAGCTCGCTGCTCCGAGGACTCGTCATCTTCCGTTTCATCGGCATCCTGCTCTAGACCATCGGCGCCAAGAAGATGCACCTGGCAGAGGCCAAAGAGATGGGCTGTGAACTCAGCTTGTTCAGAGGGCGTGTGTGTTTGTGTGTGTGTGTCTCCAAACGCCAAACATCACCTCAAAAGATCAGGAATTCTCCATCAAACCTCCTCATCTGAAGGTCCAAGGTTCATTCATGCTCTCTCCAAGACTTAAAATCAGACTTGCAAATGGAGCAGCTTCCTAAGCTGAGGCCCATGCTATAGTAACAGTCTTAAAACAAGCTCAAAGGAGGAGACTCTCCCACACCGAGACACAAGAAATCATCCTGGAGATGGACAGAGCTACCTTGGACCTCCATCAGGTGAGCTTGCAGCTCCACCGTGCACACCAACAGTAATGTGTGGGTGCAGCTGGTGCCCCAGCTCCTCCCATCTCTTTAGCTGCCTGTGGACTGTGCTGCACTAGAACCACCATGCAGGCACCCAGCTGGCTCCAGAGGGCAATTCCCAGCAGAACACACTGCCCAAACAAGGTCTCCCAGCTCACAGACCAGCCTATCACGCTGGCAAGAACCACACCACAAAAGACTAGTTACAACTATGTGAGCTGTAACACTGTATGAGATGGGAAGCCACTTCCTATACAAGTGCAACATTGCTATTTTATACTGTCCTGTGAAAAGCGACCCATAAGGCCAACAGAAAGCACTGTCAGAGTGTTGGGCTTCTTCATGTCACTCCTCATCCTTGTCTAGTTCAATCTTTCCTATCAGTGTGTGGCTCAAGGCAGGTTGTTCAGTCCTAACCTCTCACTTCCTGCCTTAACAAGGAATCAAGGGATACAGGTATGAACATTATCTCCAGGATGGAAACGTCACATCTCCAGAACGCATCACCTCCCATTCCCACTTCTGGTTACACAGGATGAGTCTCATAGGGTCCTTATGAAAAAAGGCTATGGCCAGGGTCACTGAACAACACCAAAATGCCAAGCACCAGATCAGAAAGAGACTATTTCATCTGTGCTCCTAAAATCCTGGAGGATAAGCTGAATTTAATGCGCAAAGATGGTAAATTGCTGACGGCTTTTTGATTCTTTTCTTTTTATATTTTAATCTTTTTTTGATCTTAAAACAAAAGCATTAGTCTGGTACATCCATTAGGTTACTAGAAGCAGAAATCAAGCATAGTCTAGCATCATGTCTAAAATCAATGATTAAAAGAAAATGTTAAAAAAACCCCAAAAACACTTTGAGCCATCAAGACCAAAAGGTGCAAAATATTGTTAAAACAACAGTTAAACACAGTCTAACTCTAAAAAAGCAGGTTTTCAAGATTTTAAAAGTGTGATAGACAATTCATGTTTTTTCACTGTTTTGCTATTTTCCTATCATTTCTAATGTTTGTATGCACAGCTTCACTCCTTTTCACGGGCTGTAGTTGTTCACAAAAAAGAACAGGTAAGAAACTAATAAACAAAAAATCATACCAGGGGAGACTCTGACCCACCACTAGTCTTCTACAGTTAAAGCATTCAGTGAGGTCTACCTTATCAATATCTTCCTCTTCCTCTTCTTCCTCTTCCTCTTCTGAGAAGTCAAGGAGCTTCTTGGCAAGCAGGGGATGCCACTGAAGACACTTTCTTTTGGGTCGCTTTCCAGTTCCTTCTCCTTCTGTCGAATGATCCTTGTTCCTACTACTGCCTTTCATTACTGTGACCTGTCAAGCAAAAAGAGTCCCACATTCACCACAGACTCTTGAGCACAAGTGACCACTGCCTGGGCACTTACACAAAATGGTGTCAAGCATACAGGGTATATAAACAAGACGCTGAGAGGTTTTTGGCAAGGTAACAGACAGGTTTATTCCATCAATAACAGCATGCTAAGTGATCATACTACAGATGTATCTTTTTCCTGTTTTAACACTTTCACGTAATGCCCAGCTCAACCAGGGACATTCAGGTTCAGAGCAGGAAATAAGGACATCTGCCAGTCCAGATCTCACGTGTGCTCCTAGCCCATCTGTAGCACAAAAACACAAACACTTCACTAGTCAAATCAGTGAGACACATTATGGTGTTCCCACACCTCTGTTCACTGTAGTATTTTGTCTTTTGCCACAGAAAAAGTCAGGAAAAGCCTCTTTTTAGCAGCAGCAAACTTCATCAGCTACTGCCCTGTTAATCATGCACTTATATATAGCAATGGTGATGCAGCACCCCCTGACGCTGTGAGACAGCATTTCCCAAGCGCCGTTAAAAAGTGCAACAGGGAAATCTGACTCCCTGCTTGAGTGGAGCATATTAACACAGGAATTTGAAGCAAACAACCAGAAAGAGTTACCCTAGCACAGTGAGATCATGCGTACAACTAAAATCGTTCTCTGCATCTAGTGCACGCCGAATGTGAATAATATTTACATGGCTCTCTCACGTGAGCGATTGCCTCCACATCTCAATTCCTCTACTGTGTGGTCAAAATACACACTCATACCATGGTGATGGCCAGTGTAAGGGATGGCTTAAAGCTCTGCTCTGCAGGTAAGAACTGCATTTGTGCACTCTGGAGCCCTGCTCGCTTGCAGGCTTCTGCTCACGCAGAATAACACCAGTGATAATCCCAAGCATCAACAAAGCCGACTTTCCAGGAAAAGAAAGCAAACATCACAAAGAAGCGAGAGGGGCAAGCCAACAGGGTCTTGTTGGATGGAAGACATGGATGGAAGTCTGGCTGGGAAGTCCCGGCAGCAGCACGGAGCAGCTGGGCTAAGCGCTGCTCCCGGACCAGCGCAGGTCGTGCTGCTGGCTTCTGGGCCCAGCTGTGAGAGAAGAGCTGGGGCCTCCTAGCAGGGACGCAGCATCGCACGTTTAAGATGGTGCTTTCTGCAGAACGCCTGCTCGAACGCTCACGCTTCAGCCCAGACCAGGGGCAGGGCGACCTGCAGCACCGGGGACAGCCCCGGGTCGCCCAGGTGTCTCCTCGCCGGGGCCCCTTCCCAGAGCAGCACCCAGGAGCAGGAGCCTCTCCAGCTCAGGCCATGTTGCTCTGCACCCCGTCAGTGCAGCAGTTAACGCCTCCGCTTTTCGCCGGTCCCTTCCCAGCGTGTTTCTCTTCAGTTTAGTGGTCAACAAGGCGCCCTCCTTTGCTCTGGAGGCGGTAGCAGCCTTCCAGACAGAAAATCCAGGGAGCTTCAGCCGCGCTCTCCCCAAGGGAGGTCACGGCACCCAAGGGAAGGTAGCTCAGAAATGTAACTTGCAAACATATTAAACTGCCTGGCCCCCAACAGTTAAGGGTGGCGTGCGATTCCAGAGCAGTTTTCTATCAAGCTCCACACCCGTCTGCTCCCATCATACTGCGTTCACGCAAAGCACAATCAGACCTTGATTTCATGGCAACAACTTCTCTGTTAGTTTTCTGTATCCAGTACAGAAATACAACCCTTTTAACACGTGTTATATGGCCTATAATCCCGCACCATTTCACTTGAATCCTTTTCTGCAGAGGATCCAACAAACACACTAGAAATTAAATACTCAGAAACAAAAAACTTTGGCTTGAAAACAACATTAAAATGTGAGAAATCAAGCAGAAATGCAGTATCAGGAAACAAGACTAAAGAGCGCTTCTATCCAACAGTAAACTCCATCATATACAATACTGCACAGCCTTTCCCATCTGTGTTTTTTTCTAAAATACTAAACCACCAGTTGCCTTGATGATTCTGTGCGTTTTCTGACACAACCCTCAAGGAAGCTGAGCTCCCACTCTAACAAAAACTTGAGCTTCTAAGGACAGCAGAGATTCCCAGGTTTGAGTTTGTTACTGTCTAGCTCACCAGTATTTGTTTTCGTCTCCCATGCATGTAGGCCAGATATGAAACATCCCAGTACTCCCTAAAACCCAGTAACCAATGTTCACCGCACACTAGCGAAGGCGTAGAAGCGTCTGCTCCGTGCCCACAATTGAGTTACAGTAATTCGGTTGCTTCCTTGAGCTGTGACCCGTGTCACCTGTGTGGCCTACTGAGGCAACAGCTCGACAATACGGAGCCTTTTAGCAAGGTGGCTCACTCTAACAGCAGGGCAAGCATTTTGGACATGTAAGGCACAAGATAAATCAAAGCTTGACTACTAACAGAAGCGTAATTTATTAGAGAAAGACACAATCTCTCTTTCCTTTAAATTTGGAGCAGATCTCTGCAAGGGCCTCACTATGCATCAGCGGCCACTCCTCAATATCCTTCCAGCAAGAGCAGGCCTGCAGCCAGAGACTGACTTCAAATTTTACTTTTACAGTATGGGCTGAAAGCAAACACATAGAATAAAATAAATAAAAAATCCCCCCCTTAAGTTACGCCAAGTCTATCCTCTGGCCCCCTCTGCTGTCCTATAAAACAGAAAGCAATTCTTTTGCTTAGTCAGCTTATCTGACCTGAACATTTCAGAGAAGTTTCTGGTGTTCAGTTTTTGCTGATATCTCTTTCTTACAGACAAATGTAAGATTGGGAAGGCATTATGAAAAACACTATTTCTCTACTAAATTGCATGGGACTTCTCTTAAAAATGGAAGCTGAGATAACGTGATGAATTCTTCATTTTGCACTGCTCCTCCTTCCATATCATTGCCCCTGTACTTCATGGGTATTTCTGCCATAACGGTTCCTGTGTTCACACACAGTTACTCACTCATGATAGGTGCTGTTCCTCCGAAAAGCCCATCAAATGCAAAACACATTTCTATTTACTTTTTCTGTATGTAAAATCTTGGCAAGACACAGCCTAACTGCTTTAGAAAAGATGCACTTACTGCTCAAGTGAATGCATGTAAAATTAAATGACAGCAGAAGTTAATACTAGCATTAAACACTTGCTGAACGGCAAAATGTCAATGGAATCCATTTAGCGGAACCTTCAGATTTTTTTTATTTATTTTAATTCTTGCCTTGACACATCACCAGCAGTGGGTCAGCTATCTTCTGTGGGGGAAGGAGGGTGGCAGAAAGAAGTAGGCAAAAATATCAGCTCTTCCTCTCCTGCTCTGCCTGCGTGCGGGCAAGCAGCCCCCTCACCGAGTTTTTGAAAGAAGATCTGGACCCTGCAAGAACTGTAGGGTCCTGTGTTTAGTTTGGTAACTAAATTGTTGCAGTTAAAGTCACAGAACAAGTTATGCGCAGGACTGCACGATTTGAGGTCTGCAAGTACAGAAGAGACCCAGCGCCCGAGGCGCAATGTTTGCAACAGCTGCAATTTCTGCAGCATATCAGAAAAAAATGTAATTTCTTCTACAGCATCAGTAAAGGTCTATCTTGCGATGACAAAGAGAGTAGCTTTCAGCAGCTGGCAACAGAAACAAAAGAACAATTAAAAACAACTAGCAAGATTTTACAGAGTATTTTGGGGCATAGAGGTAATAAGAAAGTGAAAGGGAGGAGGGAAAAAGGAACATTCCAACAAGGCAAGGCAAAAGTACAGAGAGATTTGCTTAAAATAACCCACATCTGCTATATAGCATCACCAGAGGATCCTTGTGAAGACTGGTATTCATGATCCACTGACAGCAACAGATACCTTAAGGGTGATGTTTTACACATACCTTTAGTGCAGATGCAGATAAGATGTGACAGAGATGTTACATTTACACCAATAAACATTTTCGGCAACATTTTCTTCAGCTTTTTTTTTCTGCCGGCTACCACTGTTTTACTGCATGCCTTATATATACGTACACCTAACAGGAATTCAGACGAAAAAAGTAAGATCCCTCAGCAAAAGACACCTCAACAAAAAGGGGAAGATCAATTGCTTACTGTTTGATGACATACGTTTCTAATTCAAACACGCAATCACATGCAAGTGTTCCTTTTTTAAATCTTCACTAGCAACAGCAGCAGTGTTACCTTTGCTGACATGCAATTTTGCTTTTCTCCTATTTTTTTTTCTTCTGCTATTTGCCAAACCTGATGCGGACAGGAGGCTTGCCCAGTTTGGGGACTGGCTGACCCGTGCCAGGGAAGCATCACTAACTGTAAGAAATCCTAGACCTGCAAAAGCAGAACCCTGGAGATCTGAACTGTAAATACGATGTAATCTCTGCTGGAAGGTTTTCAGCAAAACAATATCTGAATTTTAGTCACGCTTCTCTTGTTTCCATTAGGACCCTGGAAATGAATTTCCATTTTCCTGCTACCTTAAAATCACTTCCCTTTTGGACTCTAGCTGGGCCCTTAGTTGAATTCATACAGATTGCTAACATAAAGGGGAAAGAGGGGGGGAAATTTCAAATCGATATCCACACCTTCTACTGCTTGATGCCACCAAAAACTTTAGCTCCTTTATACAAATGAACACGAAAGAGTGACAAGAGGACTGAACTCACAGTTCCTAGGGGGCTGAAGAGTTTAATTTTTGAATAAAAGGAAAAGGAGATTACTGGGAACAAAATACATGTAAATGAAAACAAAAGCGTTTCTTAAAATAAGGGTTTTTTTTTTTTTTTTCAGCTCTGGAATAACCGAACTCAAGTCCCTCAGTAACGGAGGACAAGAGCTAGCTGGTACTGACTCGCGGCCAGCTGGGGCACATCTTCCTGCTCAGAGCAGAGCTTTGGCAGAGCCGCCCGTGCTCTGCTGCTGGCTCTGAGTCTTCCCCGCGGTTAGGGACTTGCTCCTCCAGGTTTGGAAAGGGCTTTTCACCTGCTCCTTGGTCCCCTAAG